AAAATTTCATTTATATAAGAGAATTTAATATATAATGTGTAATTTATCCTATTTTTATTTATAAATTTTAAAAAAACTATTAGGTAAAATAATAACAATGACACCTATCAAATTATCTAACTTTGACGTACATATACATTTGATTTAGAGAAATATAATTTTGCTAATATTTTGGTATTATTTTATGTTTTCCATAGAATTTATATAGTTCTTTTTTCTTAAAGGTTTATGTGTTCAAATATTTAGTTTTTTATTAAAAGTCTTATTGATGTTGTGTACCATTGTATCTATAATCCATGATTCATGTTGATTCGTATTTAATTTTGTTAGGAAGTTATAATGATCATGCAAAACCATTTTTTTCTTCTCCATCATGTCTTCCAAGAGTATTATGTTATATTTTTATTCAGTTTTCATTGTTTTAATTGTTTAATCGAGTTGTTGTAGATTTTTCTAAATTAATAATTGATAATGGTTACTTTTTTTTATACATGTATTGTTAATTGTTAATTTTTTTATTTAACTTTTAAATTTTTTAACCATTTTAACATTTTATGATTTAATAAATATGTTGATTTGGATCAATCAGATTGAATTACCTTTTTTTTGTTGGACATAATTTGTTAAATTAACTTTTAATATTTTAATTACTTAATAATTTTTGGTTTGATTTAAAAGCTGATGTAGACCAATTAAATCAAGTTTTTCCGTCCTAATCATACTTAACATTTTTCTATTTAATGAATATGCTGATGTGGACTAACCAGATCGAGTTTTTTAATCTCATGTAGATGCTCTTAATACACTATGTCATCAACTTTTATATATTATATGATGTCCACATGTTACTACGAGAACAAATAAAACAGATCAATAATATAATGAGAACCAACCCCATGGTTCCTAAAGATTTGTCAAGTGATGAATCTGTGAATCTCCATAGTTCTAGATGTAAAGTGAAGTGAAGTGATGAATCTCTTGACCATGTGAAACACTACAGATCTGGTTGATGTTAACGTGAATAAAATGAGTCCACTCATGTAACAAGCATTATATAATAATATATTGCCCGATGTTGACAGTCTTTTGCAAATATCTACGAGGTACATGTTTGAATGGACTCGTCGTTGAAGTACACGGAACATGAAAACAGCTAAGGCATCAAGTAAAACGATCACACAAGAAGATAGTGACCATATTAGCAAGCACACAAGAAGACATGATAAATAGAGAATCATCAAAGAATGGATACATAGTTAAGTACCTTGATAGAATCACCAATTAACTACTGGAACTAAAGAAGTCCATTAAACACACAATAATTATATTTAAAATGTGACTTGTTTGTTAAGGCACACAAAAGTTTTGAACACCAATTCTAACAAAAGATCTTGTAATCAGCCTTTCCTATAAGTTCGTAATGTTCATCAGGTGGATTCCAATGATACTATTCATTAATTGGATTCCAACGACAATATTAATTAATTACTTGAACATTCTGTGGTTTTAATAGTTACTTATTTGTTTAACATAGTAAATAATTAGTTGAACATAGATAAGTTTATATAATTTTTAGAAATCTATTATCGTGGTGGCAAATATATTAATATACTTCGATTGCTGCCAAACCGACTGTTAAACTTCCACGACCAAACCAGAAAAAAAACAGTATTACCAACTCGTATTTGTGACATTATAAGTCATACAACGTTATCGCAGTTTAAGTAGCTTCATATGAATTCAAACAATCTTAAAAGTCAAAACCAATCAAAGCAAGGAATAAATGTCTTCATTGGATGCGAATTATACATAGATCCTTTGTTACAAAATTTAAGTAAAATATTGATTGTGGCCCATGCACGTTTCGAACCTACGACCTTCCTAAATTTACAGGTTTAATTTTGCTGTGTGTGAGTGAGAAAACCAACCAAACCATAGAAAAACATTAGAGTATAACTTTTATAATTTAATACTCGATAAATTAATAAATTTTGTTAGTATCGAAAAGGAAAAAAAATTGATAAAATAATAAAATAATTTTATTTTTGAAACTAAATAAATTAATAATCATAAATACGAGTATATATAAGATACAATAGGACTTTATTGTTGTGTTTTTTTAAAAAAAATTCTCTACTTGATTTATCTCTAATTTTTTTATTGCATTAATAATTTTTGGTGTTGTTTTCTCTATTTGCATCTAAAAATTATGAAAAAATTTTAAAATCATCAGTGCTTTCTAATCTGTAACTACCATCAAATGTCATGTTATCATTTTCAACTTCATATCATCAATATTGAGTATGGGAGTCATAATTTTTTTATAAACTTTTAACTTCTGAACATGTATCACATTCACTCTATTTCAATACCTGAGATTATTAATCACAACTTTATATTCATAAATATTGTTTAGCTTATCTTCCAAATATATCAATGCAATATAATGCAATATTTTCAGAACAAATTATGTACTGCCAAAAACAATTTGCTATTGTGGCAATTGCATTTGTAAAAGAATAATGTAATCAAAAGAAACTAGGAATTAGTGAACCAAACTAAGCATATTAGCTTAATACATAATCACGTAATCCATTCCTGGTAAAGACAAATCATCTATGTTACCTTATCAAGTATCGCAGAATCATTTGATATATATATGGTATCGTTTGTTGGTAGATAGACTATTCAGATGTGGTTACTCATATCATCGCCATTGAGATATGATTATCTATATATTTATAGATCATATGCATGACAACTTATTTTTAGGAGTCATCATATATAATATTTTTGCTCATTATTTACTTATTTTTTGCTTATTATTTACATTGTTTTTGTTTGATATTTATAATATTTTTACTTATTATTTATATTATTTTATAGTATTTATGATATTGCCAAATACTGAAGTACACATTTGAATTGTGGTAAGTGGTAACCATTAGAAATAATTTGAAGTTCATAAAAATAAAAAGAGTATTGGTGGTCGGGGGTTAAAGAGAACACTCGTATTAATTTGTTTCCTTTTCTCCAGGGCCACATCACGAGATCGAAATAGTTGAAGAGCAAATAATAGTTGAGATCAAGATTGAAGAAACTGTTAAAGAGATACCACAGATACAACCACTTGAGATTGAGATCGTAGTTGAAGAAGCTGTAATATCCCGTTTGATTGGAGCCATTTCAACTCCAAAAGCAGTCGTGCTACTATTGAAGAAAAGCAGTACCTCTTAGCTACAAATATCCCATTGGAAACAAAGAAGAATAAACCATTCTCTCCATGGATCATTGCGCATATCCCTTTCATCATGGCATCGATTGCTTTTGTGTTGTCTACGGTCACTTTGGAAGCCATGTAGTTATCCAAAATTGCAGTCTTCTCATTAGTTTTGACTGCCTCTCCTCTTGCCTGCGAACTTGTCCTTAAGCTGATTCTGGCCTTTCTGCAGAAGTTTTTTCTCTTTTACCATCGCCTGGTGTATGTGGTGCATGGTATCAGATGCAGCATGAAGATGTTGATGATAAGCTTCTCTATAGAAGTCTGGTACTTTGCTCCGTTCAGCATGCGTAGTTTGCATAGCAGTGAATTAGAGAAATTGGAGAAGATACTACTCTTTGCTGCAGTTGTCAACTCCATATGGCTTTTCAAATCCATTGCGGTGAAGTCATGGACTGCTTAGTTTTATTTGCATACTTTTTATGAGAAGGTTGCAGAAAGTCTCTTCTAATGTTCTTTAGTGGAGTCTCTCATAGGCCCTTGATGAAAATGACACAATCTTAAGATTTTGAGAAAATGTTACTTCTTTTGAAATTGTTATTTATAATATTTTTGGTTATTATTTATAATATTATATAGTATTTATGATATTGCCAACTAGTGAAGTACATATTTGAATTGTGTGGTAAATGGTAACCATTAGATATAATTTGAATTCCAGAAAAATAAAAGGAAAAAAATATCTTTCGATTGGTCTAAACACTACACAAGATTGAGGTAAATATTAATGGTTGACTAATTTAAAATTTAGCAACAAGTCGAGAGAATATTTTTGTACTACTTTTGTCCTTTACATTTGGTTTAATTACATATAATATTATTAATCAGAAAATAATTAACATTTCCACGAAAACATGGTTCATTAGATGGATTTCAACAATACCATTTATTAAATGGATTCCGACTACGCTGTTAAATCGTTAAATATGATGTGATTTTGACAGTTATTTATTTGTTAGTAAATAATTTTGTTCATCGATAAGTCTATATAATCTCTTATATATTAATATTATCGAGTCCTAAGATTTTAAACGATTATCAAAACCAATCATGCAAGAAATAACGTCTTCATAGAATCATAGATAAGACTTATACAAATACATAGATCCAGTTTAAGATCCAGTTTAGACTTTTATCTTAATCGGTTCATGTTCACGGCCTTAACCTTGCAAGGCCTTAACCTTGCAAGGTAGCAAAAATCTCAACATAAAGTATAATCACCCAACTGTTTGCAGCCTTCTTTGCAACTCAAATTATTTATTAAAAAAAAAAAAAAACATAAATTGTGGCCCATGCAGGTTTCGAACCTGCGACCTTCGCGTTATTAGCACGACGCTCTAACCAACTGAGCTAATGGGCCATTTGTGCTTGTATGCGCAAACATATTTTATATCTCGTCAAAATATGATAATTAAAGGAAGAAAACACCTTAATTAAGGGATCCATATTATGAATTTATGACACACTGTTTTTGACAGCGTAAGGAAGAAAACACCTTAAATACTAGTAGTTCTCTATGTTTTGACAATTGAGATAGTAATTAAAAAGAGTATACAAATATATGAAGATCGAATCTCCTCCTACCAAAATGAGTCATGAATATCGCAAGGCAAGTGAATAAAAAAATATGTTTTTGATGCCATGTTTGAAATTGCGTCGTTTTAAGAGTTGATTTTTTTTTTTGTTCATGATCGAAAAGGAAGTTAGGATAGATAGAGAGGGAGAGAGAAGTAGTGCAATATTAGCAGGACTCAGCTAAAGCTGAAAACTAATTAAAAGTAAAACAGAAGTAATTCGTGTTTTTTTTCAGGATTAAGAGAGAGCTTATCACAACGAACTCTGAAACATTTTTTAAGCCGAATGTGTTTCTTCTTCTCAAGGCTTCACTAGAGTGGAAGAGAGAGATAGGAGATGTAGAGAGATTACAATATGGAGCAAGCCTTTTGTGCTTTGCTCTTCTTTTTCTTCTGCTTCGGAGGTTGAAGAACCACTCTGATCGCTGCATCAAACACCGCCTTCACGTTCTGCATTTCAATTAAGAAAAAAAAAAACAGCCTCAGGTTTAAGAAAGCTATCAAGTGAAAGAGCAAACTCATAAAAGGTTTAATAATTTTTGAATTACCTCCTGTGATTTTGAGCTGCACTCGATGTATGCAGGAGCTCCAATTAGCTTCCTTAGTTCCTCTCCCTACGATGCCGAAAGCGAGGAATGGTTAAGAGGGTTTCGTTTAAGTACCAAGCCGAGTAGATTTGAAAGAAAACTATGTTTACCTGAGCAGTGGTAATAGGTACAGCACCAGGGTGGTCAATGAAGAACTGTTTGTCATCCCGAAGATCTGCCACATTTTGATGAACACAGACCGTAAGCAGTAAGAGTCTTAGTAAGAAACAGACTCTCGGTTACACCAATTTCGACAGAAAATCTTGTAATAAGCCGTAGCCTTTCCTAAAGGTTCATAATTTGCTATATTTTAGAGATTGAATATGGTAAACTATCACGAGAAAATGTGAGATACAGAGAAGCCATTTGACCCAGAACATAAAGAAGCAACATTAGAGACTCGCTTCTAAACATAGACTATCGCAGCATTTGAATTACTCTGAGAAGCAACCCTAATTTTCACTAGAACAAAAGAGATAATAACCTACCAAATGAATACATATTGGAGGTGAACAAATCAAAAACAGAACCAAGGAATGCAAAGTACTGTCCACTAGTTTCACAAATATCCAGAGAAGCTTGCGAATAAGCACACATACACCAAAACAAATGCAAAAAGAAGAAGTTACCTAGTTTGGTTCCTACGAGAACTATTGGGACACCAGGGGCATAGTGCTTCAGCTCTGGGATCCACTGCAAACACAAGACAAAGCAGCCAAATCAAAACCAAAAAGACTTAATAACTTTCCACATCTCAAAAAAAACTTGTAGCAAAATAGGAACGCACCTTCTTGGACACATTCTCATAACTAGCTTTACTGATGAGTGAGAACGCCAAGATGAAAACATCAGCACCTCGGTAACTCAAGGGTCTTAGTCTGTTATAATCCTCCTGCCCTGTTTACAACAAATCCAACTTCAGACCCATGAAGAAGACGAAGACTACGTAAAATCCCCGAGAGGCTGAGAGATTTTGTTACCTGCGGTATCCCACAATCCTAGGTTCACAGTGCTCCCGTTAACAACCACATTTGCGCTGAAGTTATCGAAAACAGTCGGAACATAATCCTGTTCCACAGATTTTCACAAAGATTGAGTGAGAAACAACAAACACAATCCCAAAAGATAAACTGTGGATTCTCATTCATATACGGCCACAAAAGCCCTTGCTTTGTGTTCATCAATCAAGAGAGAAGCATAATCCAAATGCACATAGAGCATTAACACATCATACAATTCAATCTAATGAAGAAACGAGATGTGATTGAATAAAAAACTTAGGAATCGATTGAGAAGGAGGAAGATTATATACCGTAGGAAAAGTGTTGCTGGTGTAAGAAATCAGCAAACAGGTTTTACCGACAGCTCCGTCACCAACGGTCACGCACTTGATGAACCTCGAAGCGCTCATTTCCTCCCGCTTCTCTTCTTCTCCAGATTCTTCACCAGAATTGGAGCTATCGTGATCGATCACACAAAGGACAAACAAAATCCCCTCGAAGAAATTCAAACCTCAGATCTACACCTGAGGAAACAGAAGAGCAAAAAAATCCCCAAAAATAGAAACAAATTCCCTCCGTTTTCTCGCTTCAATTCGCCATCTCGGGTACAAAACGAACAAGAAAAACCCTAGAAATGTTAAAACAGGAAACCCTAAGCGAAATCGGGAATGTGAGAGATGATCAAAGACGAAGAAGAAGATGAATCGTATCGAGAACTATTGGGACAGAGAGAGAGAAAGAGAGAGAGAGAGAGGGAGGAAGTAGAAAAGTGATGGCCGGAAATTTATGCCATTGAAGCGTTCACAAAAGGAACAATCTCCTCCATCAACTTCCCGATTGTTTTGCTTTATTTATTTTTTTCTCGTTTCACCTTTCTGTTTAATTTGTTTCTTTTTTGTTTTTTCAAGTTTTTTTTATTGTTTTTTTCTTTAATTTATTTACTCAGTGTCTATTTCTTTTCAAAAATTATATAATCGAAATTCCTTTTGTTTGATAATAAAAGACTAAGTCTTTGTAACTACTATATTTTATAATTATTGACATTTTTTCTTATAGTAAAATTTTGAATGTCACATTTTACTGCAACAACATTCATATATCATGCCCATTGCCTTCGCAGTTCACACAAATATATCGTGTCTTGTGAGTATTTTGACTAATAAATTGAAGAAGCCTCACAAAGGTCGTGTGACTCGTGAAGGTTCTTGGTAAATATCATTATGAGCCTAATCAAACAATCATATAACGCACACGCTACAAAGTACAAACCATGAACCCCTTTGAAAATCCAAGGAACAAACCAGACCTAAACCGGGTTATCAATGTAAGATCACCCTTTGCAACTCAAGTTCAATAAGAATCTTGAAACAACCTCTCAAAACACTGCTCTCTTCTCCTTCAATCAATTAAGATTTGCATATTATTTGATATTGAGAACGCACTTGAGATCAGACACTTACATTAAGTTAACCTCATTCTAATATCCAATGATAAAACTCATTTTACTCACCACTGATCATGTAAGATTCGTATAAACATAGCAAACTCCACAAGTTACAAACCGTGAACCGCCTTAAAGATTCCGAGAAATAAACCAGACCTAAACCGGGTTATACATTTCGAGCAGCAATCAACACACACACAAGTTCCTTCCTGATTCTCAAACGACCCAACCACAGCTTTTTAACAGACTGTTACCTCATTTTTACCAATATTATGATATTCTATACTTTGATCTCCTCGTATCTGTCACCAATGGCACCGCCTTTCTGCTTTTGGAACTCCATGAACCGAAGCGTACTTGCAAAGAACGATTCAGCAGATGGATCAGACGCCATCGGTTCTTCGTTCTTGATCAGTTTGATCAAGCTCTCGACTGATTCAACTGTTATCTGTGGAATCCCTTTCTCATAGAAATAGAGGTACCTGCGAAAAAATTCACATTACATTAAACCTTTATACACTATGAAGCTGCTTACTAAGGATGAGAAAATGACATAAAACGTTTACTTGTTTAGCATCTCGATGAAGAGGGTAACTGATACTGTACTACTACCCTGAGCTGTGCTGATCATTTGTTGAGCAGAATTTGCAATTTTAAGCGCTCGTTTGAGACAAAGCAGAACCCTAATTTCAAGTCAAAAGATATGATGAGCTGGTAAAGTTAAAACACGTATTGTGGTCTATTGCAAACTTGAAATATATACCTCTCTCCATCTTGTATTGCTTCATGATCCTCGAGCCAGAACAGATGAGAACATCCATAAACAGCTCGACATTGGTCAGGTTTCTTTAGAAGTTTCGATGAATACTGCAAAAAGGACAAGTTTACCCTTATCAGCCTTAAAGCAGAGGCAACTGAATCTATGAAAGAACAAATTAACGTATCATGAGGAAATACCCCCATAGCCTTGTGTGTCAAAGTATCTCTATTCTCAACACCAAATACGTGCATCCTTTGCAGAGTTCCAATTATAAGTTGTAAAGCGGTAACTTGGGCCTTTGAGTCCTGTTAAAAAAAGACAAGTTTATCGAAGCATGAGAGAGACTAAACTCACCCACTTATCTTGATTTAGATACACAAACATGAAAACGGTGGTAGCAGATTGTCGTCCACGAAAATATAACTAACCGAAATTTCTTCTTCGTATAAGATGTATGCCTGGGTGAAAAATTCGTATGCTATTGGCTCTTCATCACACTTATTCGCAGCCTGAAGAAGTAATGAAAATTTTTTGAGAGCGTTTAATTGATGCAAGTTGCAGTATATTGCGTACAAAGAGTGATTTATTTACCTCAGCACATTGCAAGTACAACCGGAATGCCAAGTCAGGTGATGGAACATTAGGAAGTGCTTCGATAATCTGCAACAAGCAAAAAGCTCCAACAGATAAAGACAAGAATCGAAGACTGTAACAGAGTTGGTTCAATACCAGTGGAATTTGGCCAAGTTTAACTAAAAGAATGTAGCTCTGAAACACCCCATGTTCTACCTAGAAAAACAGAAATGAACACTCTATGCTAGTGAAAAATTATGAAACTTGCCTGATTTAGAAATTGGAAGATTTTAGTAGCAGATACCGAAGCCTCTTTTCCAAAAGGATTGTCACCTTCCACTGGCAATCGCCTGATTAGCTACAATTCAATACAAAATAGATAACAAAATTATATATTTTTAAGAAGAAAAGATTTCATAAACTTTAACAGATGCACTTCTATGCGGTGTAACAGAAAACAAGAAGCAACAAACCATGTCATAAAAACTATGCGGGGATATAATGTTTGCCATCTCAACACTTATCTCTATGCATTTTGAGTAACTTTGTTAAAGAGATCAAACCTTTAGAGCAGAAACTACAAGGGGAGGAACGGTGAACTTTAAGCGCTTTGGCCCTCCAGTCAGGAAATGATTCTTCAGGATACTGATTATCTGAAATTCAATGAAACAACTTCAAAGACTAAAAGCCAAAACCTTACAAGAATTTTGCACTACATGATAAATCCTGGTGATAAAGTACAGTATATTGACTAGGGAAATTAAAAAAACAAAGAATCGAAACAACAGGGAATGAATGCAATAGAACTGACGCCCTAAAACATCAAAACTCTAAATGCAAGCCAATAACTAGAAAGCCTATTGTGAAGAGATGATACACCTAATGAATATGAATGTGCAAGAGCTTCATGCACCTTAAACATCTCTTCTGGGTCATCATTATATAACATGTGAATGAGACGCGCAACAGAATTCTGCCCCTCCTCAAAATCATCTTCGTCAACCTAAAAGCATAGAAAGATATGTACCGAAGTTAAAATTCAACTTTCTTTTGAGGCTCTGGCTCTTTTTTTATTTTGCATTCAGGAGTAATTAAGAGAAAAGGTCTCAAAGCATAAGACAGAAAGTATCAATAAATGCTTATAACAACCTCAACACCTTGCGACTCATCCGGATCGTTGATAAGTCCTCCGATCAGTTCAAGCAGTGCTTCAACCTTCCAAAGTGAAACAAGACAAAGAACTTTAACTTTACCACACAATTGCTTCAACCCAAAACGCAAGGGAGCGAAGGTATCCTACCTTCTCTGCTGTAGCAATAAGGGTATTGTTTTTCATAATGCTTCGAATTATAACAGTAGCCATTATTCTCTTTGTCTCATTATCAAGGTACTCCATTACAAGGGGATAATTTGTTAGTTTAAGGGCGGTGACAACATCATTGTACTTCTCTAGGGGAGCACTTAAGAGGGTGACAATCTCCTTTGTTGCGCGGGAGTCATCAATCTTTCCTTTTCCGGACAGTTGCTTGATACATGATCCCTGGGCAGAGAAAATGGAGAACATCAAATTCACACTCTTTCATCGAATGTACCTTATTCTAGCGAAACATTAGTATAAGACAAATCGTATGCAAATTCTGTAAAAGTAACCCACCATAAACTTATATATCAACTATATACTTATAATAGAACAATACAAAAAACTGTTGAACCAACCTCTGCTAGCAAAATAAATAAACAAAGATAACCTGAATCCAGTTTTTTTTTATATATATAAGATTGGCATCTTCCGACATCACTATCATGAATTTATCAATATCTTAGCAATGTGAATAGAAAGACAAGTTTATCTAAATAAGGATATTCAGAGAGCCATTAAGCACCACTGACAACATAAGAAGTATTTAAAATTGGCTTAGGCAGAGAACAATAGCTAAATACAGTCACTAAGAGGAAACTGACCAACACTTGGTCCGCATAATCAAGCCGATCAGGGTGAACATGGAGAGTGAACTTGAGAAGCGAGGAATATAGGGTTACTGCACTCAGAATTGGCATGTCTTCTTGTGCTTCTATCACCTGCAACGTCATAGTATTCACTAATAAATGTTTTCCATCGAAGGAAAAAGACATCAAAATCACAAGACATCAAAACCACGTAATTTACGAAGCAGAACAAATATGCAGAAATGATCATGTTTTGCAGCGAATACATCCAACACATAAAGAAAGCTCCATGTTTCTACACGTTAATGGAATCGTCTAATGTACCGATTTTTACTTAAGAAAGAAATGTCAAGCAACAAATGCCTTCTCCATGTCTTTCGGGACCCTAACAAGTCAGCTCAACCGGATTTCTAAGCTAGCATTACTTTCCTCCTAATTACAGAAACCAAACTGCAACTTCATATACCCACCAAGTAGATCACGGCGTACACATAAAGGTTACCTTTCCAATTGCATTATTCAGCTTTGAGAAAGCTTCCACTTGCAGGAAATAAGGTAATACTTCAACATTTAAGGCAGCATAACTTGACAGCCTCTCCATTAAACGTGAAAGCACTGTCATGATGTCAATTGATGGCTGAGAAAAAAAAACAGAGAGAAAGTGAGAAAATATCTGAAAGTGCAGTTGATAGTAATCCTTAAAGAAGGACCATGCACAAATTGTTTTCATACAGCCAAATTAGATAAATGGGAACAACGCATAATGCTAACTATGAAGAGGCTACTCAAGAGTACCTGAAGTTGTGGACAAGCCCCAAGAAGTACATCAAGAGTCTGCAAGTGATACTCGTCAGGAAAAACTTGAATGATACAGTCCACTAGGTAAATTTGGGCAATCTCATCTCTGCAGTTCACTATCTGAAAATTCAGAAAAAAAATTAGCTTCGGGTTAAGTAATTAGTTAATTCTTTATATGTATGTGTGTGCATAGGACATAATATGTTACCTGCTCTAAGACTCTAGGAAGAACTGTATCTCTGTACATATCAAGGTCCACACCTTCTAACTGACTCAGCACATGAAGATTCTTGCCAACCTGATACGTGAGGAACGCACACTTCCATCAGTATAAACGAATGGTATGCACTTTCAGTACACGGGTACCAGCTGTAAGAAAGTCATATTACAAGGTCACGAAGCTCGCTCCTCTCTCTTTCCCGTCTCTCCTTTTCGCGAGCAGGTCCCTGCAGACCAGAAAGCCCGACAGCAAGCCTCAACTCAGGATCATCAAAGGGTAATGATTCACAAGCAATACAACACCTGCATGACCAGAATCATGCCCTCATAGTACATTTATATCTCCATGATGCACAATCATTCTGGCTAGCTCGTTTCCAAAATTAGTAGAAGAGTGTATAACAATTACAAATCATGACTCACCTGGTGTTGCATTCTGACCCAGAGTTTATTCATCTCAGTAAAGTTCAGTAGTACAAACTCAACAGCATCTGTGACTGTATCAGCATCTCTGCGGAGAGTAGCAAACGAGTAACCAACTAGATGAATCTAAATTTCAGTAACAAAAGTTTTTTGACCGTAATATATATGGATCATGATACTAATAAATATCGGGATAATCAACCCTACAGAAAGCCAACATCCTAAATTACGTCAAAAGAAATTAGGATCATTCTCTAAAGAAGATAAAACAAACACAATCAACAACCCCATGTGAGTCCCACCTGCTAGGAAGATACAAATCTAACAGAGAGTGTCTTAGCGCTTACCCTTCATACTCAGAACCAATGTCAGGTAATTTATCTCGACTAACTTGCGCAAGGTAACTTCTCAAGAAGAGACCACGTAGAGGATGCTGAATCCCACGGCACATCTCAACAAGATCTTTAAGAATGTCCTTGGCAGGAGCTTCCTTGGTTTTGATATACACGGATCCTGCTGTACATAGGAGATATCTACGGAAGAGAAAAAAGAAGAATGAACAGATAGTAGAAAAGGGAACAAACTAATATCCACTGAAAAGCTAGTGATCAAAATAAACCATCTTTGAGATTAAAAGAATTTGGGCTACGAGGTACAAAAATGATCTGAAATGATCTTTAAAAAGCAATTTTTCGAAGGCAAGAACTATCAAAAGCTTAAATACATAGGAACAGAGAAGAAAGGGATTGTATCCGTCGCTTACAAACGTGGTAATATGTTGCCAGCATGCTGAACCAGCTCATAGAGTTCAATCACTGAGCAGCCACGCCTAGTTTCTTCCATGAAGAAAATTTCAAGTTTCCTCAACTCATCAAAAGCTCGCATATCTGGAACAATCAAATCAGAACACAAAAACCCTATTTAAGTTGAATTTAGGGATTTAGCGAAACGTATGATCATCAAAAAGAGCCGGAGATCATGGCAGATCAGAGCACGGAAACAACTTACAGAGATCATAGTACTTGTGAGGTGAAAGCTTCGAAGTCCTCAACTCGCCAAGCATCTGAGCCGAATACTTGAGAGCATCTTTCAGATTATTCGAGTCCTGCTCAACGAAAACAGTACAAGTTTTTCCCAAATCAAAAAATTAGGGATTTCCTCTAATCCCACCACATCCAAATCATGGTGTGACCAGTCCCAAAGGAATTTAGAAATTTCTCAATTTCCAGAAAAGAAATTATCACCAAAAAACGAACGGGAAGAGAGTAGAGAGCAGAATTTACAATAGCGCGTTGCATGTAGAATGCGTTCTGCTTGAAAGCCGCAGCACCGGCGGCGAGCCATTTCTCTTCATCCTCTGCTCCGTCTGCGATCATCTTCTTCTTCGCTCTAAATCTCGATCTCTGGGTTTCAGGTTTGTTTCAGTTTGTCAAAAAACGATCTTATGAAGTCTTTGGATGGGAAAATTATGTCATGCTTCACACGTGTACGCTATACTATTCACCGTTCGATGGTTTCGATCGAACGGTCCAAACCAAAATCGAGCAAAAAATTGTCAACAAATCCATTGGTTTCATTGACTGGAAAACCGAAAACCAACACCAAATCCGAACCAAACCGATTTAGTATATCTAAAACAAAACAGACTTCAGTATATCCAAACCAAAAATTAAATTAAATATTCATGTCTAAAATAAATATAATGATATTGAATAAATTCATTATTTTGAGTTTTATTTTATTTTATTTTGAATTAACGTTTATGAAAAATTTCTAAACCAAACTAAAACCAAATCGAAGTACAAATAATTTAATTTGGTTTTGTAAAACCAATGGAACCAAACCGTAAACCAAATTTTATTTACGTTTTGCGACTTAGATGAGCTCTCTTTTTGTTACAAGCTACTTACATTTCAAGTAGAAGAAGTTGACATTTTAAGATTACTGTACGAGAGAGCAAGAGAGACTCGAATCTCTGATGTAAAATTGATTTGATATATACTATATACTGTATATAACAGTGTATCTACAAAGAATCACACATATACTTCCGAAATTAAAGGCTATCTAAAATACATAGGAGAACAATTTGTTGGTCATATCAAACAACTCTCTCTGAACCAAGCTTCGAGGAAATCAGAACGGGACGGTGAATGGCAATGCGTGTAGACCGGCTTCCGGAAGAAACCGTGCCGTTGGCCACAACATCGAACTACTTCCAATGCTAGTTGTCTGATTGACGATAACTTGATGGTGTCTTTTGGCGCCAAACTCCACGAGCAACCACCATTCTTGATCTTCAGAGTCGGTGAGCTTGCTCTCAACCCGATCAGGAGCAGGAGACCAGTTCTCGATGAGATTCAAGAATCGCACAGCCGTGGAAGGAGGGCATTTGCTGCATAGCTTTGAATCATCAATGGTTTCTTGATGACTAGAGAACGGCTTCTCTTTGCCTAGTTGCATACTGGTTTGTCTGCCTTTTTCCCGGGACTTGACATCTTTCAGAGGAACTATTCTCTTCTCTTTACTGAGTTTGGTTTTGACTTCTCCAGACGAACCAAAAACAGGATCTCTTTTCTTCTCCTGACAGACTCGTGGAGCCACGGACTCGCTAGGAGCAGCCTGAGAAGCATCTAACCTATCCAGGGAAGAGCACTGTTTTTGATCCTTGTCTGTCGTCATCACCTCATCAGCCTCAGGAAATTTATGCCCTTTGTCATGTAACAAGATCCGTATGCTGGTTTCTTCAAACCCATAGCAACAATTTGAAGAAAAATTGTCATCATCGTGCTTGCAATCGAAGCAAACAGACGCAACAACAAGTAAACAAACAAACTCACCAGAGTCGTAGTGTCTACCGTCGAGGAGCAGGCTCTGACTCTGCTCCGGCCTCTCGTTGCTATGAAGAGTGCTATCACAAGAAGTCTGAGACGACGTTTGATGCTCAAGTTCCACTGTAAGGCAGCTCTTATCCAAGAGCTCAGCGTCATTGTTTATCAATCCGCGACCATCATCAACCTTCTTACTAGCCTTGTCGCTTTCATCTCTGCGCCGTCTCTTATGACGGTGCTTTTTGCTTCGCTCCGCCTCATTTTCATTTTCCCTCTCCTTCCTCTTTTTATCCTTCTTGTGTTTTCTATTTTTCTTTTCTCTTTTAACTTCCTCCTTTGTCCCCTGGATTTTCAAACCAATGGTACAATAGTTAGTATCCATAACTTGCTATTCCAGTACAAGGGGCAGAGAAGCAGAGAAAGAAACACAAACAATGTAGTATGACTGTTAACTACAATGACTTTCTCTAATGCCACAAATGTCAGGAGGTGATACAATTTCTTTAGTGTAAGTTATGTATAAACTTGATGGCAAGAACACCATAAGATTCCTCCACAATGGTTCTAAGTTACAGGTTGTTTACAAAGCCACTCATCTACTTGAATTTTCATTCAGAGAGTCAATTTTCATGCTTTGACAGATTCAAGTAAATTTTGGATTCCCATCTACATTACAAATTAACACTTTCTGCCGTTCAATTTTTTCAATTTTTAACATAAGATTGAACAAACCCTAGACAAGGAAGCTGAGCACTCAAAAATCACATGAACTCAGGAGATAAAACAAACCAAAGCCATGGACTTTAAATTGCTCAACAAACCTTGATCGATTCGATCATAGACTCGTCCCGAACATATCCAGGCGGCGGGAACGGGTAACACCGAGACATTCTCACACGATCACAGACAAACCCAGAAGAGAATCAAACTCAGAGACGAACTCTGTGTAAGGTAATCTCAGATCTCGCGAAACCCTAAGATTGATTACGAGCGATCGCGAGTGGGTAACGTTGGGGATTTTTCTTATTGAGCCACAGAATTGGAAAAACAAATCGAGAGAGACAGGATTTGGTGAAAAAAAAAAAAAATTCAAGATCAGAGAAGAACGAAGAGGGGTCACGATTATTCCCAGGCTTCTTCGTAGCTCTCCGATCCAGAATTTTGATCCAATGTTCTCATAGCTGCGGTATTTATAGAAGAATGATTTCCCTTACAACGAACTAAAGGCGTGTTTGGCAACAGGAATAGCACTAAAACGGAGTTGTAGTTATCTCATTTTGGACTACAAGACGCGGTAACAGGCCCATAAAATGTTAAAGTAGGCCCATATTGGTAAATATATAATTTTCTGTCACGTTTATTTGTTTTTTTCTTTTGTACACCGCTTCAAGTCATTCACGGTCTCTGGGAGGCTTAAGATTAGACGTGGTAGATTTGTAATTATGGAGAGTGACACATAGCCAAATTCGTAAATCCAAAACTCGTGCAATTCTTACGTGGCAAGTGAAAGTGGGAAAGCTGTGAATGAAAGAGGATAATAATCGAAACCATCACCGAAAAAACGCTCAATGAGTCAATGAGCACTTAGCTTCTTCTTCTTCTTATCTTCTGTTTTTGGAAAGAAGACAAAGATGAACATTCTCTTGATTTCTTCAGCCAATGTATGAGGTTAGCATTTCAACTCTTGATTTTCTTAAATTCCTCTGATTCTCTTGTCTGTTCCCTTTGATTTGACTCTGATTTTCACCGGTGAGTTTACACTTTCACGTCTTCTCTGTTTTTTTTTTTTCTCCTCCCTTTTGATTCTCTCTTTCGCTTTCGTCACTTTTAACTGTTTATCACCGAAATTGTCACTTTTGGCTTATTTAATTTTTATTTTAAATTTGAAACTGTTCTCTGTGTTGAAAGTTCTTATAACGGACCTGGAGAATTTCTTTTGGCCTTCTTCTCTTTGTTGCTTTCGTTGACTCACAGTCTCACACATGGAGATCTCGAAGCATAACGCGATTTCATCGAACAAACTTCAAATCTCAGTGTGATTCGTAGTCGGAATCTGCTTGTTAGGGTTTGCGAATCTCATTTTGAGGAGAAACAGAAGAAGAAGAAATGGCTCATTCATGGGATCAATTAGGGGAAATCGCTTCGGTGGCGCAGCTTACAGGCGTAGACGCCGTGAAACTGATCGGAATGATAGTGGCCGCCGCGAACACAGCCCGGATGCACAAGAAGAACTGCCGCCAGTTCGCTCAGCATCTCAAGCTCATCGGGAATTTGCTCGAGCAGCTCAGAATCTCCGAGATGAAGACGTGCCCTGGGATTCAGGAGCCGCTCGAAGCGCTCGAGGATGCTCTCAGAAGATCTTACGTTCTCGTCAACAGCTGCCAAGACCGGAGCTATCTCTACCTTTTAGCCATGGGATGGAGCATCGTTTACCAGTTTCGTAAAGCTCAGAACGAGATCGATCGTTATCTCAAGATCATCCCACTCATCACTTTGGTGGACAACGTTCGGATTCGAGTAAGTTTTCATGATTTTTATCTTGTGATCTTGATGTTGTTGACATTGTTGGAGATTTGAGTTTGGATGTTTTTGGGGGGAATGTTGTAGGAGAGGCTTGAAGTTATCGACAGTGATCAGCGTGAGTACACTCTTGATGAAGAGGACAGGAAAGTGCAAGATGTGATCTTGAAACAAGAATCCACTAGAGAAGCTGCTGCTTCGGTTCTGAAGAAGACGCTCTCTCGCTCCTACCCGGAGATGGGTTTCTGCGAAGCGCTCAAGGCAGAGAACGGGAAGCTTCAAGTTGAGCTGCAGCGTTCGCGGGCGCGTTACGATGCTGATCAGTGCCAAGTCATTCAGCGTTTGATCGACGTCACAGAAACTGCTGCTGAGGTTGATGATGATGATGATGATGATGATCCTGTAAAGGAGGATTCTCCCAAAAGAAGTAGTACTCGAGCAGCTTTGAGGTTAGAATCCTTATTTATTCTTGATATGGGTGATGGTTTTTGATGATTGAAGACTAATATTGTTCAATACAGATCAACATCATCATCACAACACCATGAGGAATGGCACACTGACTTATTGGATTGTTGCTCAGAACTTTCTCTATGTAAGCCAGTTTCTTTATGTCTTCTACTGTGAGAACCAAAACATTGTTACAGTTTAAGGTTTGAAACGCAGGCTTGAAGACATTGTTTTTCCCGTGTGGTACATTGTCAAAGATTTCCTCTGTGGCAAATAACAGAGACATCAGTAAGAAATCTTATATGAATGCAGACTAATTTGTGATCTTTCATTATATAAGCTTCCAAGAATCTGATACAAAATATGGCTTTTCCAGCTTCTAATGAAGTTTGTAATGAGCTAATGGTGTATTCTTTGATACTCTCATGCTGCTGCTATACTTGCTGCATAAGAAAGAAGCTTCGAAAGACATTGAACATAAAGGTGCCCACACCATCAATATACTTTGTTTTTAGGGTTTAAGGGCGTGATGCTAAATACGGATCTCTTGATTTGGCAGGGAGGATCCATTGACGACTTTCTGTCACATCTAATGTGTTGTTGCTGTGCCTTAGTCCAAGAAGTGAGGGAAGTCGAGATTCGTGGAGCTTCTTACGGTAAATAAATCCATTTAACAGATAGATTATCAAATAGATTTTCGAATTCTTGGATCTAATACTTGAAGCAGATACAGAGAAGAAGAAGAAAAACATGACTCCACCATCACCTCAATTCATGGAAGAATGAGGACTTTCCAACACGAAACACAAAAACATTTATCTTAAAATGTTTTTGTTGACGTCAAGATTTAATGTAAATTATGGAGACTTAATGTAAACATTATAGATGCCACTACATTTGCTCTTAGGTGTTTATTTGTTTCTCATACAGTGCAGCAATGGGTTACACAGTGAAAAATGAAAACAGAACTTATCATTTTACTGTGATTTGCACTAGGATACAGGTTCAAGTAGAGAATAGTACATTAAGTCAAAAGGGTTGATAGGAAAACGACAGAAGACGAAGAAAGTTCGTTTTTCTTTTTTCTTAGATACTTTTTCTACACTTCAGGCTAAATTACTACATCCACAAAATTACCTTAGCTAAAAATGTACAGCTTTTTTCCTCTGTTCCTCTTCTTCATGAGAAACATTTTAACCTTCCCCCTAAATAAAAAAGTTCTTGTAGATTTTCTCAAAATGAAGCTGTCCAAGACCGTTGAAGTGTTTTCTTTGTTTGGTGTTGAGTTGCTTCCGCCATTTTCAACTGCATTTTCCCAAAACAGACACAACTAAGACTAACTCGAACTTACAATGTACTTAAGACAGGAAAAAAAAAGTAAGATTACTCCAAATAGTAATGCATAAATTTCTTAAGATAGAATTTGGAATTCAAAAGGTTGTACCTGCTCCTCTTGTCTCTTGAGTCTTGCATTTTCCTTCTGCAAGTGAACAATTTCAAGCTCCAGCTCGTTTGTATATGCCTGAAGGATAATAGAGAAAAACAAAAAACCCATATACCATTTTTAATACAGAGGAAAATTGTATAGTTCAAACACTAGATTAAAGAAGAGTAAAGAGAGACACATTCCTGTTTCCTAGCCCTGGAACGAGCAGCAGATTCTCTGTTCTTGATCATACGCTTATGCCTTCTTTCTCCTCTGCTTTCATCAGAATCTTGGCTTCTTCTCTTCCCAAAACAACCAAATCTCACAGATTCATCAAAGTGTGTGCTAATGGAGTGAGGGTTCAAGCTGAGAACAGTTGCAGGGGGAGGGAGAGAAAAAGAAGAAGTAGAAGGTGGTGGTTGTTGATTCAGAGGCACGTTGAGGAAATCTTGGAACATGGAGTTATTAGGGTTTTGGTTCCTCAACATTGGCTCATGATCAGTGTTTAGCTGGCGATGTTGCTGAAGCGAAGCAAGGTTGATCTCTTTCCATACTTCTTCCATGGTGACATGAGTCATGTTTTTGCCTTGTGAATAAGAATGAGATAATGAGGATGATGATGAGGGAATTGAAAAAGCACTATGGTTGATCTTATGCTTTGCTGATTACAGCATTGGATAACAGAACAGAACAGCATAGAAAGCTTTGCCTCTTTGGTTTTGGGGTCTCAAATGTCTTATAGCTTTGACAGATAGAGAGAGAAAAAGAGCAGGAGAGAGAGAGTAGAGAGAGAGAGAGAGTAGAGAGAGAGAGAGAGAGCAGAGCAGAGCACAGCAGAGAGAGAGGGGGAGATATTGAGATTCTTCTCTTTCAATCTCTCTCAAAAGTCATTTCTGGTATTATGATGGTTGGGTCCAGCAGAAGAGACAAAGATGTAACTATTCTAGAAATTTTAAAAAAGAAAAGAAATCAGAATATGTTAGAATGTAATGACTTTTCTCACTTAATCCAAAACGTGATGATAGTGATAAATGATAAATCTATAGTTAATGACGTCAAACTTTTTCACGTAAGATATCATTTTATTATAACACAGTTGATGTATTTACCATTTAGCATGATCCTTAAATCTGGAATTGGTGGTAAAGAGATTCTTTGGTTTTAAAAAGGTAACCAATAAGCTATGGTTTTGGTCTCACTTTAATATCACAATTCAACACCCTTTAGATCGCTTTCATGTGTGTCACCTTTGCTTTAATTTTTACAAACTTTTGTGTTTGTTTTTTACTTTTTAGTAATTATGTTCTGAAACTTAATAACAGTTTTGCTTACATAATACATATCTATAAAGACTTTTTAGTGCTATCAATCAGCAAAAACTGGATCAAGTAGACAAAGTTAATGCACTGCAACTACTTAATTATGTATATGACTTAAGTGGTTAAGTCTTATTAGTTCTTTGTTAGTTTCTTACATACATAAAACAAAAAGACAACAATGATACCATTTTTTTTTCATTTATAATTTTTGTAAGTCTTATCGAATGATTTTATTATATTTTTACCCAAAAAAGAAAGATTCGTCACTAAGCACCCTATCATATAATCTAGGTTTAGCCTCATCTCGATTAAAAATATGGTCTAGTGAATCAAAAACAATGTACATTTTCGTCATCTCAATGTCACAACATGTGAATAAAAATATGAAAAAAAAAAGAAATAACATATGTATAGGTGGTAATGGAAACCAACTCTTCTTTGTTAGAAGCAACTTGTTGGTTGAGTGAAAGATAACTGAGCCTGTGATTTGATTGATTTCTCTTTTCCCAGAATCGAGAGGCTTACTGCGAAAGGGATATTGAAAAGAAACAAAAAAATACAATAAGGTTTGAATTATATTGGCATTTCCTCATCATCATCATACATAATATTCTTCTTTCTATGAATTTATTTTGTGTTTTAGATTATTGAGAAAACTATTCACTTGTGACGAAAAGATGTGTTATCTTCTGTTCCTCACTTTTATCCAAACGATTTCCACATTTCCCCATCGTAATATAACCAAAATCTCCACTTATTTTTCAACATATTATTGGTTAACTCTTTCTGCTCCACAATAATGACTAAATGTCGTTTTGACATTTTTCTACAACAAATAAAAAAAAAATATTACAGAATTTATTACTTTTTATACAAAAGCAAATTAACTCTTGGTATATATATATATAAGTAATAATTTTATGTTTTATTAATTTTAATGTAAGACTAAATTAAAATTAGTTATTGTTTACCCAAACCAAATTGAGCCTGAACCGAACAAAAAGAACCGGTTCTGAAATCTCTAAACCGAAATTAATAACCGGACTGTCCACCAGTCGAAGGACAATGAGAATGACGTGGCAAACTCCTATTGATAGGACAAGTGTCATGTCTCTGTTGCTCTTTCCCAAACTTTGCTTCTCTTCGTTGTATTACACTTGTCCAATATCGAGTTTTCTTTTCTCTCTTTTCATTTCATGTTTTGGCCTAATTTAGACTAACTTTAAGTCTTTAACTATGACTAATAATTATCAAAATCAAAAATAAATGTAGAGTAATTTTAGACGCGGCTCTGAATGGTAATGAAGTTCTGTTCATTGCTCTTAAAATGTTCTTAATGATTGCATGTAATTTTGCCTAATTGCATGTAATCTTTAAATTAAAATACGTGGTTATTTGTTCAACTTTCAAGTGTGTTATAAAATATTAGGGATAAAAAATATTTGATTTACTAGGTTGTCTGTTTAAGTGGGTCAGGTTCAGAAATCGAATTCTACCATTTACAAAATTCTATATGGTTCAATATTATGATATCTAAATTATTTAAATGGTCATAACTCATTAAATAAAACTCTATATATTGTTATAAAAACGTCAGTCAATATACAAAATGACAAGAGTTTTGTGGTGCTTTATCTTTTTATCTTCTTTGGTATGAACTGACGGACAACGAAGATGCCCAATGAGTTTCTTTGACCGTCTCTCTGATGCTTTCACTTTGGATATGAATATCTATCAATAGGTTGTCTCTAGCTCGTACGATGGCAACACAGTGTAGTTATAATAAATATTACTATAACACAACTAAGGACAATAATAAATAAATAAAAAAAAAACAAGAAGCTTGAGTTTAAAGGTCCAAACGAATGCTAACCGTTGGATAGTTAAGATGGTTGTCTTTTTTTTTTTTTGTAGTACAATGCAACTTCAATTGGTAAGAATCGTTGAGGAAACTTGCTATTTTCGTTTCTTTCTGTATTTTTTTTTTATGACTGGCCTGAACTCTGAAGCTATTGTTTTGGTCGTTTCTATGTCAGTCTTCTTCCACATGTAGCTATGCAGATACGTTGATAATAGTTTTTATGTACGTGTGGTGCATTGATCAGATATATATAAATATGTACAAACAGATCGAACGAATTTTATATTTGACAAATAGAGATGTATAATTGAGTTTGCTTTCAATATTTCCCACGTTGAATATTATTGAACATTTTCATAGTAACAATAAAATTATATGGTTGGTAAAATTTGTAAAATGAGTAGAGATGAACAATAATTCAGACTAAGGCCGTACCATAGTAATTAGTTAAGATCATTAGACATTAATCTAATTAGACCACCACTAAGAAGCTAACGAATCAATTTCAGAAACAGGCCACCATTAAAATAAATCAGATAAGTATCTTACATCATTCTCAATAACCAAAGAAATTATAGAAAGTATACCACTGATCACTTTAGCATATGAATGGCTTGTTAATCCGGAAACAATTCAAATAAAAAAAAAACTGCAAATTAGAGACGTAAAACTTTGATTTTCTCCTACACTATCTTTTTTTGGTTCTTTTTTCTTCTTTTGAGATTTTTTCAGGGACGACATGTCAACGTACCAAATAAGTTACTAATACCAAAGGTGGGAAGCTTCACGTAAGACCATCAAATTCTCTCGTACAACCTCAGCTTCGATTTGAAGTTGTTGTATCAGCGAACTTGATCCAATTTCACGTGTTTTTTCTCAAGCGACGTGTTCTGGATTAAAAGTAACCCGCAAGTCACGAGGCATTAAGTACTTTCTCCAGTTTCGCCGATTCCTTATTTCATAACCCTATAAACAAACACGAAACAAAATTTTGTTGTCAAAGTACAAGATGATAAAATCACAAATTAAAGACACTGAAACACACAAGTCTCTCAGGATCTTTTCAGTTTCAACACAAGCACCAAAATACAATTTGGAGCGGTCAAAAGTAGATATTCGAAAGAGATACCTTCACTTCAACAACATTTAAACCTCGTAGAGAGTCCAGTATAAGCTGGATGTTAGTTGTTAATGCTTTGAGCTGAAAAAGAAACAACACAACAACATTGTTGGATGTATAAATATAAGAGAAGCAACAAGGAAGTAAGCAAATCAAATCTATATGAACGAAAATAAACATGCAAGAAAAACATAACTAAGTGACAATTTAACCTTATTGAAATCCGCAATAACTTGTATATGAACGAAGCCCTCATCATTCATGTGTTGGCGGAGGAACATGTCGCGAGGTAAATTCTCTTCGCTGTAACAAAAGCAAAACAATAAATATTAAAACAAAAAACACATTTTGGACTAGTGGTAGGCAAAGTTCTGAAGTAAAAAAAGAAAGAAAGTATTGCCTGAAATAATAATGAACTTGATTCCGTATTCTGGTTTTCAGACGAGCTTCTTGAAATTGAGACATGACATGAGGAGGTTCCTTGAAGGGCATGCGATGAGGATGATACATCATCATCGGTGGTGGTAATCCTAAAAGGAAACATATGCGTCACGTGAAAGTAACAAGAAAACGAAAAACAAAATCGATACTTTCTGTTTGTGTTGACTTACCAAGAAAGACCATAGGATAAAAAGTCTGATGAACTGGCATATACTGAGCATAGAATGGCTGCACTGGTGGTGGTCGTGGTCTTACAAATCCGCCTGATCCGTTAAAGGTCCTGTGAGGATTCACATGTCCTTGGTTCTGCCTTACTCCATGACCTTGACGAGTATGGTTGTTACCATCTTGGTTCTTGTGTGGGTTCCGTTGATTTTGGTTTTGCGTTTGTCCTGAGGTTTGAGCAGCATTACCACTGGTAAACGGAGATGCAACAACCTGTTCGGTTGATATTTGGTCGATTGTTTGTTCTTCAGATGTTTGTCCCATTCGTTCGATGGAGTCTTCAGCAAGAAAACCATTCCGCTGAAGCAATCAAAAACACAAATATAGACGCTGAAATCAAAAGCACGTAACTTGCATACAAAGTCAAATACTTTCTACTAAAGGCATCGTTAAGCTAAAGATTTCATGAAGTTGCATCAATCTTGGAAAAGATCAGATCAATAAAACCACATGCAGAAGCAAAAAGATTCAGTAATCAAACAAAGTCCAAACTATTTCAAACCTCAGAGAAAAGCTGAGAGAGAGATGATGATGATGATGATGATGATCCAGCGCCAAGACTTTTTAACGAAGCAGAGGAAGACGACATGTTCGCAGAAGAAACTGCTTTCTTCGTCTCGGAAAGAGGTGGCCACGAAGAAGATCCCATGACTGTATTGATCACAGTATCTCCATTAGAGAGCTTTTTCCATGCATTACCTTGGGACACATCAGAGTTGTCTGATTTCTCCTTCTCCATGATCGTCAGTGAAGCCGAGGATGATGATACAGAACGGATCGGCTCTATTAGAGCCGTTGTTTCAGAAGATACAGTCATCGGTGAGGAACGAACAATGAGTTCTCAAGTATGATCCGAGGAAACAGAGCAGGGAGAATTAGGGTTTCTTCTACGAAACTCTGATTCTACGGGACTCTGATCAGTCTCCTAATGAACATCTATGATCGCAAAGCTAAAACCAACAAAAATATCTCTTAGAAATAGGCAGAGAAAGAATAAGGAAAAATCTGAGAAATTAGGGTTAAAGGAAAGTATATTGCAAAAAGGAAAAACAGAGGGAACCAACCAACAAATTTCCCAGAAGATGGAAAAGGAGAGACTTTAGGGTTTTTAACTTTATTTTTTATATGGAGAGAAGAGATCCTATTGGCTCTTGGCAATGTTTTGAAATCCGGACCGTACCGGCCGGTTGAACCGGTTTAACCGCAACCCGTTTGGATGTAGATTAAAATTCGGTCTATTAAAAACTCGGATAAAACCAGAAAAATCCGATTAAAACCTGCGAACCAGTGGTTAAACCGGAGGACCGGCTCACCTACAACTCATAAATGAAGATTTTAGACGTGGGCTGAAGCCCAATAAATTTAACAACCTTATTATGTTGCTGCTATTAATTGTAACAATTCCTGTATTTGTTTTTTTTTCGATATACGTTGTGAAATTTGTTCTTTTTTCAAATGTGGCTTGCTTTTTTTTTTTCATTGTCAAACTAAAGCAAAAAAAACTTCATTTTACTTGGTAACTAATATATTATTTTTATCTATGTATTTTTTTTTCAATTACATAAATATATCGTTTATAAAAAACTGATTTTTTTCTTATTAATTTTTTTTGCTGCTATTATATCAGACATATTTTATTTATATATATATATAAAGTAAATTGATATTATATTTAAAAAATAGATATTAATTTATTAATTCGTAGTCAATTCATATCGGTTTAGATTCGTCTGAAAATTTGCTAATTCGGAAGATATTGCTGTTTGTTATCTACGTTGGGTTTAACAATATTAACTCTGTCTGCTGTGAAATTAGGATTTCACAATTTTACACTTAAAAGATAAATACATGTTTTTATTGTTTTATTCTAACCTCTGAGATCTTATTGACTAATTAGTGTTTAGTGATAATCTTTTTAGCTGGATTATTAATTTCCACTTTAAATTGAAATAAATTAAATAGGTATGTATTTAAAAAAAGACATTTTTAATACATATATTTAAATGAAAATATAAGAGTTTAGTCATTTTTAATAAACAAAACTTATATAAATGCTTGATTTGTCGTGTTTTCAGAAATCAAATGGAAGCAATACTATTCTTGATGATCCTGATTAATCCTTAAAAGCATCTTGCAGATCTTTAGTAACTCTAGTTTTTGATTATAAAATATTAGATAAACCAAATTGATATATATATATATATATAAAATTCGAAATACTGTAAAAAAAATTCAATATTTTTTGGTGGGATTGATACATATGAAATTCAACACATTTTTTTTTTATTTGTCTCATTTGCTTTTCAAAAAGAGATGGGAAATTTTCTTTTTCTGTCATAATTCTTTCAAATGCTTATTTAAAACGATGAACAATGTTTTTGAAATTATCAAAATAATAAAGTTTTTGAAATATATAATTATTGATTAACAATGTGATTAAGAACACTATACTTCTATTGTGTTGTAGAAAAATCTAAATAGCAATACATAAAATAAAATAAAAGATAAAAAGAAAAGAGATAAACAGAAAAAAGAGGAACCCATAGCCAAAAAAAATTGTAATTGATAAATTAGTTTGAAGTCGGAAACAACATCTACTCATTGGTTTGATGTCTCATAAAATATCTTAATGTTGTATGAAAACGCATATGTATGTATCATATATACATCGCAAACACGAACAGTGTAAATCAAATCAATTATCATATACAACATATAAAAAATAATACAACTGTAATGCAGCATATTTGTTGGTGATTTTAACCCAATATAATCTTCTAAAGAATATAAATTTGCGTATACAAGATGGCTAAATATATATATTATATGCAACAACAATCAAAGGAATGCCAAAATTGAGAAGAAGTAAAAGATTAAAAGTGGGAGAGAGAGAGAATAATAAGAAGACGACGACGTGGTTGGTCTTTGAGATGGTATGTTTGTGGCTTCTGGCTGAAACGAAGAAGCTGGCGGTCTAGCCGAGGAAGAGGACCGGTTCGATGGAAGCGTCCGAGCTGAGGTCTCACCTGTGTAACCTGATGAGCCATGGAAGTAAACTCAGATTAGAACTCTTTATCTTAGTGATCTATAAGGAAGAAACAGTTGAAAATCATTTGACAAAGGAACTCACAATCAGATTCTTTCCATCCCAGAATCAGTTTCTCACGATCAAAGACAACGCGATAGCCAGTCATGAAGTTCTCTGCAAATCATTGTGAGTTTTTTAAGCAAGACTAACATATTTTGGTTTTAGTTTTTTTTTTTCCAAATTGATACTTACGTCCGATGATGCTAATGTCTTCAATCTTCATGATGGCTAAACAGTAGACATCTGTGTCCTGAATACATATCACAAGGAGAGACAAAAGCTTTAAGTTGTAACTCGCAAGACACGGAACAGAGGTTTGCTGTAATAATAGAGTGTCTAACTAACCTTCATGGGGATAACTACTAACGGGTGATAAACTGGATATGAGCTCCCTCCTTTCATTGTCAGATTCACAGCTGGATACTGGAAGCTGTCTTTGTTTGGACTGTGTAAATATAGATACAGATTCAAAAGTTAGTCAGGTTTTAGCGAGAATCAGAGAGATGGTGAGCAGAGTAAAGAGGCAACCTTAATGCATAGCAGTACTCGAAAGGCAACTCGGAATCAGTTTGATAACGTTTGTCTAGAGCTAGAGAGTTAAACTGCAAAGTCATATCGGGTTTATCAAGCCATGTGCTACCACCAAACCAAGATCATCAGATACAACACAAAGATAAAGACTTACACTTTCTGATACAAGTGTGTAAGCTTCATTAGTCAGATAAGTGAACGAGGTTCCAGAGTCGAAAACAGCATCAAATTCAAGATCACCGGTGTTTCCTCCGACGCTTATTTGAGTGACGGTGATATTGTAAGTAGGACTGTTCAACGAGAAAATAAAGTATAACCAAGGAGATTTCGGTTAAGTACTAAGAAGATATGATTTGATCGCTTGCTTACTGTGGTTGTCTTATGTTCAATGGCGTTTCCCGTTGGTCTACGCTGCCTTTATCTCCAAAACTGATCCTACCAGCTCCGTCAATTCCAAAACACATTGAGAATGAGTTTGCTGCGATTCCTTCCTTAGCTAATACACTTGGAACTGATATGTCTTCCAAGCCAAGCCCGAAAAGACCATTTGGTGCTGCACCATCATGGAATACACCGGTCTGAACTTGACCACATCTGCACCAGCACAGAAAGATTGTTAAATGATGAAAAACACAAAAGGTTTAAGCTTGCCAGCAAGGAAGAGATTACTTACCCCAAGGTTACCCGAGCACGAACAGCTTTCGAATCTTTCTCATTGGAAACTAAGTGAAGCACATCCTCAACAAGGACTCCAGTAGAAGAGGTACCATTTGAAAGATACCGTATCTGGTACGGACAATTACTACCAGGGGAAGCGCATCGATCACCTCTTGTACATAACGTGCTATTACAAGGAACTTTAAAACTCGTCGATGATGCATTAGGGCTATAAATATTGAGGTCTAAGCTCTGTTCAACAACAAAATAAACTCATGTAAGGAACCCAAACAACTTGCAGATATAAAATAAGTCCAAAGAGATAGCACGCTTAAATAGGGATAAAACATAATCTAAACTTTTTCATCCACAAATCCTTTTGACATCATAGTCTAACTCTAGTATAGTGTCAGTCTCACTGTGTGTTAAGTGTTGAAGACTTGGTCAACAAAGAGTTGCTCAAGTCAAATTCCTATATCAACACAATTAAACCAAAGTCCCATTCAGAACAAAATCCATAAGATTCTTTATAATCAAAACCTTAAGAGAGCAGAAGATACATCATACATCAGCAACACAACTCGAATTCTAGTATGTGTATAAGCAAAAAGAAGAGACATTACCGAGCCTCCAGGTGCTTTCAGCTCACGGACGCAATTGGTACAATCACAGGGCAACCAAAACAAGTCACTCCCAGTGTCTAGAGCTACCAGATACCAATCAGACGGCGTCCCAACCGTCACGTTCGCGTAATGCAAACTGTACAAACATCGAATCAACATTTCAACACAAACATCTCCAAAACCACAAGTCTCATACGAATCAAAGCTATAAAATTTAGTGAAAGGGCAATCACGTTGAAGCTAAGAAAAGGCAATTTACAGTCAAAATTTCCAATGAATTTTTTAGGAAAAGAGAAAACCTTACAATCCTAGGGCGTCCACACGAACAGTTTCATTGCCGTCAGCGAAAGTGACGAGTGACTGATCTTCAGCGGATGCAAGTCTTCGGCCTCTGATTAAACGATCTCGATGAGCCATCACTCTGTAATACTTAGAAGAGTCCCGATTAGGCAAACCATCTCCGGGCAAAACCCCCACGACCTGATCCGAGAAGCGGTGGTGAAATTCGAACCCGAATTCGCCATTTCCTTCGCATCTATCCAATACCCAGCTCGAAATCAGCAGAAGAATCAGACCCATAAACATAATTCTACAGCTCGAGTACCCAACCATGGCGGTTCGTCGTCAGAAAAAAAAAAAAGTACTCCGCCGAGATCTCGGAAACTTTCTGTGAAAAAATCCGAAATTTCCGAGAATTCAATACTGAAGAGATATCAAAATCCAAAGTCCGAATCTTCTCTAGCTATGGAGTGATGGGAATTCAGATACGAAACCGATAAATTAGGCAAGAAGGAAGGATCGTGAGAGAAGTGGAGGAAGCGAAGACGCTTCAAAATTTCCTCTTTGTATGAGCTTTGAAGTCAATTTATTTTCCTCGAATAATAATAAATAAACAATATTTTTGATACTTTAATTAAAAGGTGGCAGGTTACTTTCCTTCTATACCTCAAAACGGCAAAAGTCAACGTGAAAGTCGTCCAAGTGGGACCCAAAGTCATCTCTGTTGAATATTCAAACAAATGTGTAAATTTTTAATCCACAAGTCTATACTACAATCGATTGCTACTGAGTTACATTATGGTCACGCCATTGAATTACTATATATTTTGTTCGTCAACACGTAATTGAATTATTTAAAGCTTGATATTAGTAAATGTAGTTGGACCAACTTTTGGTCATTTTCATTTTCTTAATGTTTATTATGATCCGTAGTCGGTAAAATTAGTTAGCATAGTTAGAGCAACTTCAATGGTAACATCATTAATATAAAGTTTAATGATTAATTATTAATATTTGCTAAATTTTTTTTTTTTCATTTTCTATGTTATTTATTTTTGTTCATTCATATTTTGCCACTTGTCTACTTTTAAAAAAAAATCTACATAATTTTTTTATTTAATTATATTACTAAGAACTTGTCATTAGACCCCTACAAATCTACATTAGAGTTGGTCTAGAGACTTAGAGTTAAGATTCTACCCATTTTTAGTTTCATACAGTAATTTGTTGTTATTTATAGATAAAGGTCGCCTAATTGTGTTTGTGTTAGTTGGTTTAATGGTTTGCCGCTTTACCAAAAAACACTAAATTAATTAGTTTGATCAGTTTGGTGTATAGTCGCAAAAGACTTAAAAGTTTTTGAACATGTTGTTGTTTGTTTATACAATCACATTGAAAAATAAGATAATAAAACAAAAACGAGAATTACTACAAGAGTACAAGCCAATAACTTTGAATTTTGTTGACGGAATTAAGATAGTCAAAGTAAAAAACTTATTGTTCTTTAAAGACTATTTCCGCTAATCTTTGACAATTTGCATAGTATGGATTATACATTTCAAAAGGTATAAGAAGACAAGAATACGGTGCTATCAATGAAAAGTAAGCAAATATTTTCATGTTGAATTTGTTTTGTTGTGAATTGTGATCTATGCTAAATATATGATTGGGGAACTTCGTGTTTCAAATAGAAAATATTTTGATGTTAAAAAGTTTTTTTTTCTTTCTGATCTATATATGTTTTACAGAATATGATTAAACGTTTAAAATACAATAGAAGTATGGTGTAGTTAGATATTTGGAAATATTCAAAAATATCATTTATTATCTATTTTATTATTTATATAATTTCCTTTAATTATTTTAAGGTTTTTTTATAGATTTTAGATTTCTTATATAAAACCGTTTAGACCTAATGTATTATTCAGTTGTTGATTTTTTAATAAAGAGTTTTGGCTTTTGAGAGAGTATTCTCTATTCCTTGTTTTCGGCAGATCTATTGAGATCTCAACGAATTCAAGAAGCAGGTCCCAAATGCAGATTCTGTTGAATCCCTTGGTTGAGCTGGCAGGTCCCAATCGATTCCTTGAATCCTTTGGTTGAGCTGTTTTATCGTTGCTTCCGCTACATCAGTTGGTATCAGAGACACAACTTTTGATTTCTAAATCAGGGTTCGATTCTGGATGTCATGTTGATTGACCAGTGCAACACCTATACTTTTGTCGAAAGAGAAGATAACTATGAGATCTATCGAGAGATCTATGGCGAACCGATCTACGACGTATATGCAGAAGATGTTATTGAAGATGATGCTTTTGAGAAACAAATATGTGCACAATCCGGGTGGAATCAAATCGGTGCAAATTTTGGGCGTGATTTGATTGGTGTAAATTTCGTGAAAAATCTGACGCGTGCAAACTTCGGGCAGAATCGATAGTGTTCGAAATCGAGAGAGATCTGTGGCGAATTAGGTTTGTGCAAAATCTGTGCATATCCGGGCCGTGCAGAATCTGTGCAAAATCTGGTTTGTGCAAATTTCGGTCAAAATCCGGTTTATGTAAACCGCATGCAAAATCCGATCCGTGCAAATTCCGTGCAGAACCAAAATAAACAGATTTATGATACATTCGGTCTGTGTAAAACCGGTGAAGATTACATAATATCGGTTTGTGCAGAATCTGTGGAAGGTTCGGTTCATTCAAATGCAAAATTTTATCAATAGAAGATTAGAAAAAAGGAACGAAAATTATCGAATGATTTTTGTGGAAGGAGTTTTAAAATCGAAGACCACGGCTAAGATTCGAGGACGAATCTTCTCCAACCCGGAGAGAATGGTGTAGCTTGGAAATATTCCAAATATCATTTATTATCTATTTTATTATTTATATAATTTTCTTTTATTATTTTAGGGTTTTTTAAGGTTTTCTATATATTTTAGATTTCTTATATAAAGTCGTTTAGGCCTAATGTATTATTCAGTTGTTGATTTTTTAATAAAGAGCTTTGGCTTTTGAGAAAGTATTCTCTATTCCTTGTTTTCGGCAGATCTATTGAAATCTCAACGAGTTCAAGAAGCAGGTCCCAAGTGCGGATTCCGTTGAATCCCTTGGTTGAGCTGACAGGTCCCAATCGATTCCTTGAATCCTTTGGTTGGGCTGTTTTATCGTTGCTTCCGCTACATCAAAGTCTCATACACACAACCAATAATCACCTGCGACCAGTAAACAATCACACAATTAAACAGTTACATAGAGACCTTGAAGAGGTTCTTCTCATGGCAATTCATCTCGATATATATTATACATAAAAAAAAACTTGATACATCACCTATTAATTATTTCTTGCAACACAAGAAAAAAAAACAATGATATTAAATAAAATGTCTTTATGGAACAGAAAAACGATGCTTAAAGAAATGAGATCGATGAGTTAAAGAGCGCTTCGGTGCTTGTTTCTGCCAAAAGTATTTCAAGAACCACTCATGCTTGTATGAAGCTACTATGTATCCGATCGTCAATCCAAATACAATTCCAGGTGCAAAGCCTAACCCTGCTGCTATCCAGCTTAACCTTTGTTCGTGTTCTTCATCTTACTCTTCTTCTGATATCGAAGCTTCATCAGATTCAGAGATATCTCCACAAATATCTTTAAGGGAAGGTCCATAAAGTCCAGGGTTTCCTTCGTAGGAAGAGCAGTTTTGTCGTTGGAACTGTGTACCTTGTGGTATTGATCCTGTGAGCTGGTTATGTAAAACGTTTATCCACCCAAGAGAAGAGAGGTCACCGAGCTTCGGAGGGATCTCACCTGAAAGCTTGTTTTGAGATATGTCCAGTGATTCAAGCGCAGTGAGGTTTGCCAAAGATGATGGGATGTGTCCTGTGAAAACGTTTCTTGACAAATTCAGAACATGAAGGTCCTTCAAAAGACCTATGGATTCAGGGACTTGTCCATGGATCTTGTTTCCTGAAAAATCAATGGCCGTGTAGACTGTGAGGATACGTTCCATCGCTATTGATACTCCTTTATTCGACAAGATAACAGAAGTGTAGTATCCGAAATCATAAAAGTCCCCAATGTAGCTCGGTTCTGTATAGTCATCATCTTTCTTGGAGGATATCGCAGTCCAGTTCAGGAAGTAATCATACGGCAACGTACCGAGGAACTCATTATGTGACACGTCAATGATTTTCAGCTGAGGGAATCCGAACCAAACACCATCTGAGCGATGTAACGTGCCGTGAAAGTTGTTAGAGCGGAGGACAAGAACTTTCAGATTCTGCAATGAACTCAACTTGAACGGAAACGTATCCTTCATGTCGTTGCTTTCAACGTTTAGAACTTCCAGATCAGAACAACCGGTAAGAGACTCAGGAAGTTTTCCCTCTAATCTGTTGTGGCTGACGTCAATGGACCTTAACCTCTCGGCGTGCATAAACATATCAGGAAGTGTTCCGGTGAGGCTGTTGTTACGGAGATTAAGATCCGTAAGAGAACTCATCTGAGTCTCTAAACACCGAGGGATCGAGCCGTGGAAGTTGTTGTTTGACAGATCTATGATGGTGGGAGAGGTAAGTCCATAAGGTATCTCTCCTGTGAAGTTATTTCTCGAGGCAAACAAGTAGTTGATAGTTGTGGATGGGATGAAGATTGGTCCTTGGAAAGCATTTGAACTTAGATCCAAAACAACAAAACTTCCAGGTGAAGCTTCTGAAGTTTCCTTGAAACCGCTGAAGGAGTTGCTAGAAAGATCCACGACTTGCAGGTCTTGTAGTCTCCACAACCAGTCTGGTACTTGACCTTTGATTTCGTTGTTGGAGAGATCTAGAGTATTCAGGTTTCTTTGGCCTCTAATGAACTTAGGGAACTCAGTTATGTTGCAGCTTGACAAGTACAAAACTCTCAAATGTGGTGAAAACTTCGAATCAGAAGTGATGTTTGCTGTTGAAAGAGGGATCCCCGAGAGAGCAAGTCCTTCTAGCTTCTTGAGAGAAGAGAAGACATTCAAGTCAACTGGACTGACTTTGTACTTGTTACGGTAAATAAAGAAATATTGTAGATTTGGTAACAGAGAGATATTCTCAATCTCAACGAGACCAGTGAGTTGGTTATTCTCCAAGTATATGTTTGTCAATGAAGAAATCTGGAACAGAGACGCAGGAATGGCTCCGGTGAAAAAGTTTCCACCGGCGACAAAAGCCTCTAACTTGGAGAGTTGGCTGATGTTTGGTGGGAGGAAACCTGTGAACTGATTGGAACTGAGATGTATAGAACGTAGTTTTGTCAGATTGAGTAGTGCAGATGGGAAGTTTCCGATGAGCTTGTTATAGCCAACACTAAAGACGGTCAACTGTTTTAGGTTTCCAATCGAAGATGGGATCTCACCAGTGAAATGGTTGCCAGCAATAAGGAGGTTTGAGAGACAAGAAAGCTCTCCAAGTGAAGATGGTATCCTCCCAGAGAAATTGGATCCTTCAAGTGTCAAAAAAGTTAAATGTTTGAGGTTACTGATGGAGTCAGGTATGTTACCTGAAAAAGATGTTTCCAAGAGGCTCAAGATCTTCATAGAGTTGTTTCCATGGAAGTCAGGAAGTTCGCCACTAAGCTCTAGATTGCGATCCAATCTTATGGACTGTAAGTTTGGTAGTAGAAGAACACTGCTTGGGAATTCTCCAATCAGGTTGCATCCTTCAAGACGTAGAGATCTTAGAGACCATATGCATGAAAACTCTTTGGGGATTTCTGAAGAAATGTTAACAGAGCTCATGTGAAGTGCTCTAAGGTTCCTCAAGTTTCTAGCAAGTAGAGGGAGAAACAATGGTGGGTTTTCAATGCACAACAAGAAACTTGGAGAAAAGGAATTATAAGAAGAAAGATCAAGAAACACCAAATTGGTGAGTTGAAGAATTTTTGTTGGAATTTGACCTGTCAATGAAGACTCAGAGAGGTTTAGCCTCTCTAACCACATGAGTGTGTTGAACTTATCTGGTAATGGAGAAAAAGTGAAGTTGTTGTAAGCAAGATTCAGATTTCTGAGATGTTTCAGTCTAAAAAGACTAGTATTGGGTTCGAGCCGACCGTGAAGACAGCTGCAACTAAGGTCTAGACCGATCACCTTGCCCGACTTGGTATCGCACGTAACACCGTCCCAGTTACAACAGTCGCTGCTGCTGATTGCCCATGATTCCGTCTTGGGATAAGAAGTGACGTTTATCCAAAAACCATCAAAATCAAGAAAATCATCATGCTTCCGAATCTTGAACTCGTTCTTGAACTCAAGAAGCGTATCTCTTTGATCCGGAGGACAAAGGTCCGGTGTAAGAGAAGCATAAGTGTTGAACAGATTAAAAATGGAGAAGAGAAGAGCAATGGTATGAAGAAAGAATCTCAGTGATGAATAGTAGGAGTCTATCATAGTTTTTTTCTTTGCTGGTCAACAGCTTAGTGGAAGTGTCTCTCTTTATAAAAATGTTTTGTCTTTACATAATTAATTCAGATTTGTTTTTAGCACGTTTGATTCTCTTACACCGAAATTTTTAATTACATTGCCTCACCAATCACGAGCCTTCCGCAGAAATTAGTTAATCTTTGCCGTTGATGCATGTTTGTCAAAAGAACGTTTCCATGTGTTTTTGTGTTTCTCCCACTGACAATATTAATTTAAGTTTATGCATTTTTCGTAAGTCAGTTTTTAATTACTCACATGTTAAGTGAACTTAAAGGAAAGGTTCCACTTGCTAATTCTTATGCAATTTTTATTTGTCGTCTTAGACACGGTTCACGAATGTAAGCTGTAAAGATTTGGATTGTCCTTAACATCTATTATATAAAAGTAAGTGATGTCTCACAAGATTATCTTGACTCATCAACACACCTCTTTCCATAGATTAAGCTAATTATGTCTTTGATTCAGTTTTCTCCCGTCAACAACTTTCATATTCAAACATTGTTTCAGTTTAAGACAATCAAGTTTTCTTGCTTGAAGAATTAAGTTCATCGTGCATTTCTAAAAGTATGGTGAATATTGATGAACGATGACTATCTAATCTTTGAGAATTATTCACCAAAGCTTTTTTTTACCTTGCTTATTTGAGTCTCAAAACAAAAACAAAGTTTGAATTCACGACTGATTAATTTGTTTATATATATATATATATATATATATATAAACATTTTTATTTTTTACTTTACGGTCATTGAATTTCCTCTTTTATTAATAACAATGAAATTCTTACTATGGTATTAGAAAGTCAATGGGAAAATGAGCATTTATATGCCAAACTTTTAAAATTCAGCCATTCTAAGCATTATTTTTGTTTAAGCATTATTTTTGTTTGATTCATTTAAATGACACAATTTTTTGTTGACCAAATTTTAAATTACGAACTTATGTTGATTCGATAATTTTAGACACGATATGTCGTTTGGTCAGCATCTGTTAGTGAAGTTAATGTCATACCTATTATGACCAGTCAACATATGTTCATGATTTAAAAGATAATTGATATAAATTTTGTTATTTAAACAGTCGATGTGAAACTTAATGCTTATATTAGCCAAATTTTAAAAGTTTGACATTTAAATAGTATTTTTAGTGAAGAAAAAGTTATATTTTTAATTGAAAAAACATCTCAAACTTAAGATTTTGCAATGTGAAAGATGAATGATCTTAAGGTTTTAATATCTGTAATTAGCAATAACTCATGTATTACCGATGAAAGAGCATCTTAAACTTAACTTATTGAGGTTTTTGAGATAACAGACGGTTCACTTAATAAAGTGATTTTCCAAAGAAAACCCAAATATCTCAAAATAGTTAGGTTACTACAGTTCTCTTCCACATTTTAAAACTCGAACCTCTTAGTAAAATTATAATCATAAGCTATAAATGATCACTGTTTTATGAATTTTTTTCTTTACTAAACACAAACAAAAATAAATTCTTGTTATAAAAATCAGAGCATACAAGCAAGGAAAAAAAGGAACATTTGTTGTTAGGTTAATTAAAGATAACTACCATATATTAATTAATGTACTTGAGTGAGTTTTTACAAAAAGTTGAGATTTGCTAATGGTTTGTTCTTCTAAGTTAGCAAAACTCACATAACATAAAAAGAAGAAACCTTAGTAAAATGGATGATTAAGTTGAGATTTGCTAATGGTTTGTTCTTCTAAGCTACTCTATTTTGAACATTAACCTTAACCAATTGTAGTGCAATTTCTTTAACCATTACAATGGTTTTTCATCAGAAGCAGAAACAAAAAGCCCGATACTAGATATTGAAACTTTAATCTAAAGTTCCTTATGCCTCTATCATTCATTATCCGGGACTTAAAACGTGCTGTTGGTTCCATGACTCACCTGGACCACTAGATGATTAAGTTGAACCAATTCAAAAACTGGAGACTCACACTTGATTCTTAATCGGTCTATGACAATCAACTAATAACCAATTGGACTAAACCAATGCCATCTGAACAATCAACTACAGTAATTAGTTTCCTTAATGGTTCACACAAACAAATCTGAATTAAATTTGGTTAACTAGTTTTTTCAGTTAAACTAGACAAACAAAACTTACACCGGTCACAAGAGAGCCAGAGTTTTTCAATTATACTGCGATTATCTTCGTAGATATTTCATTTCCATACAAACATTGCATAGATTTTTCACCAGAATCAGAAACAAAATCATGGAATAAAAAGCCCTATACTGCAAGCCACTGAAACCATCAATCAAAATTGCTTTATTATGCGTACCATCTCCTTAAGGCTCAAGGCAGATCCCAAACCATTCCTTAAGCGGCAAGTTAGTATATGTACGCGACACTAACCTTAGCCTCGGATCATCATCTGGTATTTCAAGTTCCTGGCGATTCCAATCAAATCAAACCGTTCACCCATCAAAAACTAAACCAGAATCCAGTTTGATTCTACATTTTCATCCCCTGGTTAAGAACCGTCTTCTCCATCCTCGGACCTTTATCAAACCGTTCACCTTCCTAGATTGATATAATTAATTCTTATATTATCTTTTAGCTAGTTCACATGCATAGAAGTTATGCAGTATAGAGATGCTCAAAAGAAACGAGATAATGTCGCCATGATTGCTGCAATACCGATGAAACCCTAAACATTATAATTGAACTAATCAAGCCAAAACTCACCATATTCGTGCCTTGTCAATAAAAACAACATTATTATTTCCCAAACAGCAGTTTTTTTTAAACTATAAAGCACAAGTGGATATATATAATATGAGTTATAACTACAAACACAGCGACGACTTTCTTTTTGAGTGATTATCTAAAGACAAGTGCATGATTAACAAAAGGAAAGACTTGCAAAACAGAATGTAATGAAAATAACAGCAGTGTGAAATTGTGGCGACATCATGAACTTGGGAAAACCTAGGAGGGATTAAACAAGAATAACAAAGTTACAAAATTTTGAGTATAAATAAATCACCGCACGTATGTATTTGTATCATCAAAGTTTTAAGTTTCTTGAAAAGAAAAAGAAAACAACAAAGTAAGAAGAAAAGAAATGGCAAAGACCTTCATCAACTCCGTCAGCTTCACCATTCTCTTGGTTGTTCTCGTGATTGCTTCAACAGGTATTAATTTAAATAAGTTGATCTCTATTATATTTTTGGAGTTGTCTTCCCATTATCTTGTGCTAATGATCGATCTTGACGAATATGTCAAAATCTAGGAATCCTCAAGAGCGAGGCCGGTTTTACTCCGAACTGCCACAACAAAGGTGCTCCTCAATGCCCTAACCTCGTGGACCGTGTGTTCCACGGAGAGTGCGGGGCTGAGCCGTTCGTGGGTGGTGATTGCGAATGCTGTAAATGTTGCCTGGAGTTATACGGAAGTCCTCCGGTATGTTGGGCGGTTGTTGAGGGAAGCGACAATCACTGCCATTGCTACAGAAAGGTATGAGGTTTGAAGTAACCTCATGAAAGATCCCAAATGTGTAACTGTTGCTTTATTCGGTGTGAGGACGTGATATGTGTGTATGTGTGTGTTCAAGTTTCTTTTGCTTCCAAATAAAACATAAAAGGCAAAGCTTATTGCTTACCACCCAAGTGTAAAAGCTCATGCTGTGTGCACTTTTGTGAATATATAATAAAAACGTTTTGTGTTTGTATTCCTATGTCCATTTTTGCTTACATTCAAATTTCTGTCCCTAGAGATCCTTTATTAATATAATAATGAAAGTCTGTGTTGTGGAGCTTTAGATGACAACGCAAAAAAAGAGAAGAAGACGATGTTTTTTTTTGTCAACTGAAAACGAGGTTTTGTGGAGCTTTTTCGTCTACACTTGTGACAGATTATTCAAGATTAATTTTTGGATGGTTACTTAGAACATTTCTATCTATGATCTATCTCTACAAGGTTTCCCAACAAGTATGAGAGACTTTGAAGAGCATTTTTTAAATTTTTTGAAATATCCTTTAATTATTATATTATTTTTATATTTTATTGTTTTTTTTTTTTATAATATTCAAATTTTTATTGATGGAGGTGCTTTGATTCAAATTTTCGTTTCTTCTTTATTTGTATCATCATCCGAATTCAATACACAGCACTAACCAAACTAAACCGATCGCAGGAAAGCCGTAGTTCTAGATTCTAAACAATTGAATCAATGGATTCGTATGGCTTGATGCAATTTCTTCTGAGAAATCTCATTTCCATCTAAACGTTACAGATATTTTTCATCATACTAGCTAATGAAACTTTTAATCAAAATGCACTATTATGCATGCATCTTTTCCTTAAAGTTCAAGTAGACTCAATCCCTTCCTTAAGTCGCAAGTTAGTATATATAGGATTCATCATGAATACATATATATATATATATATATATATTTTGATGGTTTTTCAGTTACATAAATGATTTAAGTTTGGAAGTTTGATGAAACTAGTTTAATCCAAATTTTCGATTCCCATTCAAATAAGCTCGTAAAATATTGAATTTGGAGATAAAAGAGTGTGGTTACCGTGTAGAGGTCCATGGCAGGTAATCTTCCCGCCCTTACATAATCTCCAAAGCATTTATATTGCCGTTTTCAGGGTCACCAGAGTGCAGATAGGACCTGAGATATTCATATTTGATGATCAAATAAAAGTTTTCATACACATAAAAGTTACTTTGATATATTAGTACTCTACACTTGAAGACGAAGACAGCAGTCATAAACTTCTCAATGTATAAAATATTTTACCATGTCTCACTGAGTCAAATGTTCATGAAATACTGAGACTATATAAGCATCATCCAAGGGTTGTTGTATTGTACCTCAATATATGTGTCACAATAAATGCTTAGAGTCTCAGTATTTCATGAACATTGGCTAAAGTCTGTACCTTTGACTCAATGAGACATGGTAAAAAAAAGTTTATATATTGAGAAATTTATAAACTTTCTTTTTGAGTGATTATCTAATACAAGTGGCCTCGTTTGCGTTCTTGCATTTACCACATGTTGAAATCAGTTGTACAAGTTAAAACAAACGCATGATCAGGAACATTCGTGGCTAAACTCTCAAAACTGAGTCCCATCATTTATCATGGGAACATCATTCAAACAAGAAAAATGTAAAATTTGACATACATCATTGATGGAAGATGAAAGCACATTGCAATCTAGCACCTTTCATGAATAGAATACATCTAATCTGAGTTGCACATCTAATTCATCTTTGCATATTACCTCTGCTGATTATATATCCTATTTGAGCTTCATGTTTCTTCTTTCGTGCACACACGTGCAACGTACACTATATTTTAACTCTGAATATTTAGTTTGTACAAGTAATCAATTACGATTTGGTATTTGATAGTATTTGGCTATGGAAAACGACCTAAACCATTACGAGTGTTGTTAATTCACGCACACACAAACTGATCTTTAAATTTTGTTAGGTAATTAGGAAATCACATTTAAAGAGTGCTTTGAATATGAATGTACTTAATTTGGTAATACCAGACAAGAATCTAGTACCATCTTTTGATGGATTTGGTCCAATGACTTGTGGTCTCTGGTCTCAAGACCTCTAAAATAGCCAACCATCTTGTTTCTCGTTTCAATGGAACACAACATAAGCCACAACACAACAAAGACAAAAGAAAAAAAGTAACTCATTTTTTATTTTGTGTGTTTCTTTTATACATCTGCTGACTAAACATAGTAGTAAAACTCTGACTGGTGTAAATGGTAACTGTAAAAAGCAAAAAAAAAGAACTGTAATTTACATGAAAGTTGAGAGGAGGACCAGACTCTTGAGGTAGAGAATTATTAGAGGTCACGTCTACACATTGGACAAGAACCGTGCCTGAGGAGCCAATTGTCGATACAAGGTAAGTGAAACATGTGATGACAATGAGGCAAGCTTCTTACTGTTTCACCAAGCTGAAAATCCTGCAAATGTCACACATCAACAAGGAGAAAAGAATACCCGAAATTAGATCTGTGATTCGATATAATTTAAAGCTAATACGACGCAAAAGTGATGTTTAGAACCTGAAGACAAACAGAGCAAGAGGAGTCTCTGTTCTCGGAACCAGCATCTGTGTTATCGTTGCCAGTGATTGTTATCTTTGGGATCTTCTCAACAATGTCTCCTGTTAATCCTTTTGATCCTCCTGTCTCGAACAGGCTCGAGAGATCATCGAATGGTGCATCCAAAGCTCCCATCTGATCAAGTAGAAAGCGAAAGAATCAGTAAAAATGGAGACTCGAGAGAAGAAAAAAAACAGAAACTTTAGTATGCAAAAACACATACTTGACTTTGCACTGCACTTAGCATTGCAGGGCCTATGCGCTCCCTTACGAGTCTCCCGCTCAGAAGACTAACAATGACATCAATCTACAAGAGAAACACTAACCACTCAATCCAATATAAACTTCATTGCTACTTGGAAAAAACAGAGCAAGTGTTGAATCTCACCAAGTAGAGAAGGCATCCGAAACCTGACTCGTCCGATTTCCAGAGATCAAGCGATGATTCGAAGACCTCTATAGAGAAAACAGCACCAGAAATGGCTCCAATGGCTGCTCCTCTGATGAAACCACTCTCTGTTTCTTGGCCTATCAAAGCTCCTGTAACTGCTCCAAGCAATGTACCCACTGAATTCATAAAAAAGAAACACCTTTCTTAGCTCAAAGTTTGCAGATTTTTTTTTGCTAATAATCATACAAATTGACTCAAATCAATCCGATTAGGGATGAGCAGAGCAAAACAACTATTAAACTAAATCGGATCCACAATCGATAAAATCGAGTTCAATCTCAAGAACAGAAATAGGAAACCGACAAAAGACTAACCTAGAGCGAAGAAGAAGGTCAAGATCGCGGAGATGATGGTACCCAGAACAGCGGAGACGAGGAAATGGCAAGCGTCTTGAATCCGTTCGACGAAATTCCCAAGAGAAGGGCTCGACGAAAGAGGATAAAACCCAGATTCGAATCTAACGGATGCCATGTTTTCCGGAAAAAGCAGAGCTTGAAGAGAGGCTTTAAATAGGAGAGAAAGAAAGAGAGAGAAGGGATTAGCTTTAGTTCTTAAGAGGGAAGAAGATGCGACGTCGCGCTAATTGTATTTAAAGCTCTCTGGGTATTTTGCTTTCATTGCCAGAATTTTGCTTTCCTCTTGTAGAAGGTGAATGAAAAATTAAGGCTTTTTGTGTCTGTCTCAATCACACACAATAAAAAGTCTCAAACTTTCATTTTCGGAAGCACGAGTCAGAGATTAGAGAGAGATGAGTTTCACGGGGCAAGAACTTTTTTTTTTATGGCAAAAGCTTTTTTTTGAATATAAGTAACTTCCACCATTTTCTTTTGGTAAAGCCAACGTTCTTAAGTAACAATAAAATCCACACATATTTTTTTATGTTGTTTTCTCTATTGAAATGTTTAAATAAATATGATTAATAACCTAACATTTTATAGATTAATTGTATTATAAGGAATTATGGATGATGATGACATTGAAAGATCACTGGTTTTAATCCACTAGTTAAGACTTAAGATGTACCTATTTTTTATATTTTTTTGACAAACGGCTTAGATATACCTGTTTAACCACCACGATATTTATATATCAATTATAACAAGCATGCCTTTATATAGTTGATATAAATTTGGGTTACTGTCAAACAAATAAAAGTTGATGTAAATTTGGTTAAACAGATTTCTCAAAATCCTCATCATATAAAGGGAATCACTACTGTGTTTTTACATCAAAACAAAAATAGTAGTAGTTGTGAAATTTTGTGATATTTGTGTCCAGATTCAATTAATAAGAAAGAAAAAAAAAAAGCGTGAAAAATTTGTCAATCAGTTTTTGTCTAAATGGTTGTTGGCATTTTACTATTCCTCATAGAATAGTTTACTGTTCATAAACCGTCGTTATGTTTGGAAAATTGGAAGAAAAATCAATTTATATACACAAATCACGCGCAAAATTATGTCAAGATCATTAGACTTTCAGGTATTTTGTATTTAATAAATAGAATATGATCAACTTAACAAGTTTTCAACTACCCGCCACTAAACCATCACTACTAAACCATCACTATTAATTAAATATATGAGAAGTTTTAGTCCTTTCAACGTAACGATTCCATGAAATGTTTAAAAATTAGGCGTCGTAACATAATATAGATAAGATATGGTCAAGGCACTTGACTCAAGTGACAAGTCGACACAAAAACAGAAGTGTAAATGATGGATCGATCTCTAAAACTGAACGAGAATGGATCGAGTATACTTTGTAACGCATCTTCTATGCACATGACATTTAATACATATCTAATATATTGAATTCAACAATGTCAGGCTAACTGGCTATAATATCTCCATAAGTAATATTTTATCTCGACCGCTATTTAATACATGTAACATACAAGCGTTCTTATAATAAATACACACGATTCTAGAGTCTAGATAATATATACTATATGTTATACGACATTTCTACAATATCGACCCGAACGAAGATATTTTCATCGAGACTATATTTTTTTTATTTAGTGTGATCCCTATGGGCGTTGGGACCATACCGGTCCCATACACACATCACAGAAGTTACTTAAACAGGCAAAGGAATAAAGAATCAGTGTATAGATAATAGATATTCATGATAAGAATGGTTTGTGTGTATAGAGTACGTTGTACGTGTGTGCACGAAAGAAGATACATGTGTTCTTGCCCTTTCTAACTCTGAATAAAAGGAGCTTACACCTGCTTATTTGACAAAGACTAATAATACAAAAGACCCTTCAAAATAACCAAATTTTTAATAATTAAGAAATGTTATGTTTACTAATTACTACGCATAATTTTCTAAAAAATGTACTATTATTTATTAATTCATCAAGTTTTATCATTTTTTTGTATTATTCCCATTTCCAACTCAGGACCAAATAATAAGTTATTATTGAATATTCATTTATAAAAGTTTTACTATATAGATGGATTTATTATTGAATATTCATTTATTGAATCTTAAGCTATTCGAATTCATAATATAGCTTAATCAGACATGTTTTTATGTCTTCACATTAGTAATGATCTAACTTGCTTTTCAAAGATCAATTTCAAAGGTCGGTTTCCTAGTTGTGTTACAGATTTGCAAGAGTCTTGAGCAAAATGAGATGCACAGTCGTGAATGGGCTTCTAAGGGCCCACTGATTCAGGTACATGTTTGGCTTCTCAATTTATTGTACAAATACGCACCACTGATCACAACAAATACGCATCACTTGCGTGTTAGGCAAGTACTTTACGTTCTTCTGTGCTTTAAACCTAACACAGGGAGTAAAAGAAGTTATAATTGCTACTGAAACGAATTCGGAACGGATTCACAAGAAATTTATAATTCTCAGAGAAGCAAAGCAAAAAAGGTCACTACTGAAGATTATCTGTTTATTTGTAAAATCAAGTATTGGAAGATATGTTTGTCAGAAAATAAAAGTATTGGAAGATATCGAGAGTTGTATTTCTCTTTACCAGGAAGGCAAATTTAAGCTTTTGGAGAATTCATACAATGCTACTTGTAGTCAAGTTGACTTCGAAACCAAGGTAACGACTATACCAAAATTACAACACAAAGAAAAAAACGATCTAAAATTTATAATATAAGATATTGACATTCTTTATACGGAAATCAAGAACAATCTAGAATGATTCAGAAGATTATTGATATTTGTCAATATATTAGATTAGAAAAATTCAAACCTTTGATGTGTTGGATCTTCTTGATCTTCCAATATTTGTGTTTTTTTAAAAAAAAATCAAATTATATGACTGGTTGATCGCTCATTTTGAAGCGACTGATATGATCTAATACAACATTGAAATTTAGATAAATGCTTTATCAATGCAATCGAATAATTTTCATTGAAACGAGATGCTAGAGATCGAGACCTTAGTGGTATAGATTCCTATCTTCCTAATATATCAGTGAGTAGCTTTCATAGTTTCAGTTAGTATCTCATCGTGAATGAAATGATAGTCGACTTTAATATGTTTATTGCACTCATAAAAAAATCCGGATTTACACAATGTTTCCTGGCTAATTATAAAAAAGGATATTAATTTGTCATGAATAACACCAAACTCACATGTAATGGACAACATAGCGCCATATTAAGCCTTGTGGATGATGGAGAAACCATTTCAAGAAGACAAAGAGAAAGCTACACTTATAAATGAAACAAGTTGAAAGATAATAGTTGAACGTTTGAATAGCTGAAAGATGATCAGCTCACGGCCATGCAAAAAACTGTTAGAACCAAATTCTAAGCCAATGGGCTTCTTTCACTTTGTCAAAACTTTGGAAGTTGAGTGAAAAGAAATAGGCTTTGGGCTGTAATTGTAAGTTTAAGTGGGAGTGTAAGTGAGTAAAGTGTTTTTTCCCCACATTGGAAACATTAGGGAAAGTCCTCCATATATTGCGAGAGAGAGCATACAGCATGTTCAAAAGGCTAATAATGGAGAGCATGGGCCGAGTTATACGTGCATGCTGCTGCCAGGCTGGGCCGAAAGTGACCATTCTTTTTGAGCTAAATTTGACAATTGTTTTTGGGCCCAATTCGTAAACTAAATTGTTAACATTTCGGATTAACAGAGAATTAACCAATTTGGTGGTTTTAAATTTAAAAGATATGATTCAACCTAGTCAATCACATCTTCCTGATTTTGTTGCCTACTGTCCTTCTCTATGTAACCCACGCACGAACCACGATTTGAGGAGATTCTCGGATTGAGAAACTGCTCCTCTTTAACTATAAAAGAAAATCGCAACTCTCATTCCAGTACATAGTCTAAATCGTACTCAAAAGTTATAACTTTTTTAGTTAAAAGTAAATCTTGAAAGTTTGTAATAGATTTATTTTAAGTTTATAGATTCCGTGTTTCAAGTATTGTGAAGCGGTTTTATAAGTTGTCTTTTGAGACTCTAAATCGTTTTATAATAATGTTACACTATAAATGATTTCTTAAGTTAAAGAAAAAGATTATATCTTGACTTCGATAATCATTTCTATTTCTGAAAATATTTTTTTAAATAAAAAATTTAGTTTATGCACTTTCCTTAGTACTATTTATCATCTACACTCATTTTATACATTGCATTCCTTATTTCCATTTTTCCGATTCCTACGAAAAACTTGGAGGTAAGTACCGAGTCCACGTAAAACCAGACTCACAAAGATCTCAGCAAGTTGGCGAACCAACAAAGCAAAGTTTGTTTATCCCGTAGAGATCTCCACACCGATTTGCTTAATAAAGTCAAATTAAAAATAAAATCTAATTCCACTATAAATATAAGAATAAATTCGTCCAGTTACATATAAAAACATCTAATTCAACGAATTAATTCTTGTATTATATAGAACATCTAATTCAACGAATTAATTCTTATTAGATTTTTTGGAAAATAAACCCAGCTAAATATAACAAATGAATATTTGAGAATAATAATATATCATATTATATGAAAAAAAAACTAGGTTTCGCGTCTTTTCTCCTTTTTTTTTTCTTTTCTAAACAGCCGTGTCTAACAGAGGCGTATCATTGCATAATTAAAATACTTATCCTAAACTGTCTGCTGCAACATTCTTTTGCTCAAAACGTGGCATGTCTTCCCAAATTAGGGTAGCGAAGAAGCAGCCGTCGGGACCACCGTCTCTGATGACGTCACTTCCCGAAGACGTCATCGTTGACATCTTAGCGCGCGTACCGAGATCCAGGTATTCAACACTCTCCCTCGTTTCTAAGCAATTCCGATCACTCGTTGCGTCCCCTGAGATATACTCGATCGTTGTTAGGTTGCACCGAACACTGTATCTATCTTGTCCTCTACAACAGCCCGTGATAATTTGATGGGGCGGAAGCTATTACGGATAGAATTAGATCCGTTGATTTTGAGAATACCTAAAAACTAGGATTTGTGAATACTTTCACAGTGGTTTATCAAAACTCCTTTTAAGAAATCTCCTTTTTATTAATTCATCAAAATCTAAATAATACAAAGAATACAAAAAGCTTAAACGGCTATTTATAACAAATATTAGAAACCCCTAAAACTCTAAAAATTATAAAATAATAATTAAATAACTAATATAAATAAAATATAAATATTTAATAAATATATTAAATATACGCTGCATCACAACCGTTTGTATATTCTCTGCGGGAAAGCCAACGGCAATAAAAGCCGCTTGGTCCTTATCCATTCGCTTCCAGCTATGCCTCCCAGGGCAAGCTATGTCGCGGTGGGCTCAGAGATATATGTGATTAGTAGTGTTTGTGATGGCGATAAGACATCAACTGTCTTAAGCATCGACTGTAGATCTCATACGGTGCAACCTCTCCCGAGCATGCCTGTGCCCATGTCTAGTCTAGTCGCTGACATCATCGACGGAAGAATCTACGTAATTGGAGATAGAACAGCTATGTTCAATACAGAAACAAAAACGTGGGAGCCTATCATGGAGGTCACGGGGGCGTATGATTGTGTCGCGATGGCTGGTAAGTTGTACACGAGGAAATATAAGGATCACTTTGTATACTTTGTTTACGATCCAAAGGAAAGAAAATGTGAAACAGAAGAGGTGCTGAATTCAAAATTGTGGATGGACACGTGTGTGGTTGATGACGTATTGTACTACTACGATGAAGATGACGATAGTTTAAATACGTATGATCCAAAGCAGAGGTGTTGGGGAGTGGTGAAAGGTTTGGAAGAATTGTTGGCTGAGATGAACGCATCATATACACTTAAGAATATTGTGGGTTACAGTGGGAAACTGTATTTGTTTATTGAAAAAGAAAAAAAAAAAACAAAAAGAGATTTTGTGTGCGGAGATCTCGCTGGCAAAACGTCAAGGAGTAGATGTTTTGGGTAAAGTTGAGTGGTGTGATCAAGTTTTGACTGGAGATTTTGCCGTGATGGAGACTCTAGCTGTTATGGTTTGATCATGCAAGAACTTTGTGTTTTGTTCTTTTCCTTAGCTATTATGGTTTGGTGCAAGAACTTGTGTTTTTTTCTTTTGATACAAGAAGTTTGTGTTTTCTCTTTCGATTAAGTTATGCTTTTGTGTTTCCATCTATTAGCGAGTGTAAACAGAAAATGCATGGTTTTATTAAATTATTAAAGTCATAAAACTCAAAAGACCAAACATGTAAAGTTACACAAAAAAAAGTAGAATAAAATTTCAAACATCCCTCATGAACAAACAGCCTCCAATATTCCTAAGGATCTCTCACTTTGAAAGGGAAATACAACAATACATCTGTTTTAAACTGCATCACCACAAATTTGGGTTGTTGTGAAAAACCTACAAATAGATAAAAAGAGAATTCGAGGTTGAAAGATTGATGCAATCTTGAAGATGTTACTGATAGATAGATAGTTCAAGATTTAAGAGATTACCTCCTCAAATTTTGAGCTTTTGTTTTGTATATGTTTCTCTTAAACCTTGAACTCGTGGACATGGAACCATTTCGTTGATGACCATTTGTTTCCTTTCACCACTGGACATCCACCTGCAAAAAAAAAAAAAAAAAAATCAAAGCAGAGGACATTGAAGATTAGAGACTAAACAGTGAAAGCAAAAACAGAGTTTTTTTGTTGTTGTTGTTGTTTGAATAATCTTCACCGTGCAAACTCGAAGGGTCTAGAGAAGCATCAGGTCTCATGTTCCAGAAAAGTAAAGCATCTCGCTTCTTTGGTAGAACAGAGAGTCCTTCTTTGCCGCATTTCGAGAGCTCGTTCCACCATGGGACCGCACTAATGTTTCCTTTTGCTGCTGGGAACACAGTCTCGCCACCATCATCAACATCCGAGCTAAAGTATTGTGTCAAGAAAGATTAAAACACATAAAGAAATTTCTCTGACTATGAGATTTTCTTGAGCTACTTACAGGTACATAAGTACGGTAGCTATTCGTTGTCCTCCGTTCTTGGTGTTGAACTCGTCCAAGAAGTAATCATAGTGAGGCTCATACTTCTGCCCAACTTGGTAGTGAAGAACTTGAAGACCTTCTCCATTTTCTACAAAAACAAAAAGCACGATCCACAAAAATCAAGAACTTGAAGATCTCAAAGATGTTTTCAACACTTCCTTATTTTGATAACTTAAAGCAAAAGTGGCACTTGCCAACAGGAATGAAGGTGAAATCTGAGATCCTTTTCTCAATCGTCTCGACAACTTCGTCATGTCCTCTTCTAAGAAAAGTTCCTGAGCTCGTCCTTACTCTGCACAAGGGACCGTATACGCAGAGTTTAGCAAACAACAAGCCTTCCCAAGTTTAAACTAGAAAGGCAAAAGAGCAAAATACAAAAACCTGCTATCTTTGCTCCCACCGGTTTTCTCATCAACCACGGTTGACTTAACCATGCTCGGTTTAGCAAGGCTGATCAGGTGCTCACATTCTTCATTGGTCTAAAGAAGCAGAAATGAAAAATGAAGATCACATCATCTCATACATTCCAATTGAATAACTCATCGTAGACACAAATGAGAAGAAGCATGTGTTTCCTTCCTCTAAAGCCATTATCACTAAAAAAAAAATCTAAAATCTAACCTCTAAGACAGAACATAGTCAACCTGATCTTGTAGGACTTGGATTGATATCCCAACAAATGAGAAGAAGCATGTGTTTCCTTCCTCTAAGCCATTATCACTCAAAAACAAATCTAAAGCATATCCAAATTTAGCAATGAAAAGCTCCAAATTCTTGCCATTTTGACAGAACATTCTTTCAATAGAAGATTCAAGGAGATCTAAATCTAAACTTCTCTACAGGAGAACAAAGCCACCTTCTTGCCACATTTAAAAGCCATTTTCATTCTTCAATGGAAGATTCAGTGAGATCTATAAATCTAAACTCTAAATGGGATAACAAAGTCAACTCCATCGATCAAAACTTAGCAACAACAAGCTCAAATTCTCTTTATCTTGTCAGACAAGACAGAACAACTCTATGAACACGCATGAAGAAACAAGAAATTACCAAGAAATTGTGGTAAACAACAGCTCTAGGCTCCCACGAAATCACTTCAACCCAACGCTCGCCGCTTCCTTCCTCATCTCCATAACTAAGCAAATTTTTCAAAAACCCAGGAATCGATTCAGAGATTCACTTCCAATTCAAAAAAAAAAAAAAAAAAAAACCCAAATCGTTGCTCTAACCTCTCCTCGGTCTTGCGCACAATGTTGGTCAAATCGTTGGGCTTCGAGTAGTTTCTGTTGGCATTGGGAAGTGACAAGATCCCGAGACCGAGAAGAACCAGAATCACTACGAGCAGAAGGATGAGCACTGTGAAGGCTTGAGTCGATCGCGATGAAGATTTTCGCGGCTGATAACGAAGGTTTTTCGATTTGGGCGCCATGGATTGATTTTGATTTTGATTTTTTCGGTAAAAACAAAAAAAAAAAAATTCAAGATCTAAAAAGAGGACATTGAAGAGAAGTTATAATAGCCAAGCTTGCAATCTGGTGATAATTGAAGTTATTTATGATTATGCGAATTATCTTTTTTGTTTTTTTTTAATCTTGTGAGATTGATTCTCTTCGTCTTTGTCTTCGTCGTCGCGTATTTGTTAGATACAGACACTACGAAGGTGGCTTTGACTTTTGGAATTTCGGACTCGGTCTTCAATTTTCTTTTATTTCTTGTTTCGTTCCCAATACTTTTTGGTTATTCAGATTTCACCCCGTTTTTGTGTAACACACTTTTAACCAGTTACAAAAATGTCTTAAATTTTATTGACCCTACTAAACTCATTGTCTAGACATATTTCTCCATACTTAGCATTAAAAAAGGAGTTGTTGGAAGTGAAAAGGGGACTCTAATTACAAATTTTGTGGATTATAAGGAACATTGTAATATGATCAGTTCAATAAATATTATTTCTTGGTCAAAGGTGAAATGAATTGCTCATAGGTGAATAATTTGGCGGATTTGTGAATAAAATGATCGTTAGGTAGATTTCAAATTAGGTTAGGTAATTTGTAAGAATATCAAAAATATTTGTTTTTCAGTTTTCTTTGTTTTCCAATAAAGTGAGATGTGGTAAGAACATGTTGAACATTACCAAAACATGATTTGGTCACTTCTTTAAGATTGTTTATTTGTTTATCCGAAAATTGAGATATTGTCAACCTTTTCTTTTATGGCTATTGTAAAATAATACAAGTCCTTTATCTTGTCAAGATGTAACAACTAATCCAATTCTTATCAACACATACACTTGCAAGAGAATATAAATCCATTTCAGAAAAAAAAAAAATCTTAAAATAAGTTCAATATTATTTGCAAACAATATAACTTTTAATATTGTTCTACTGATTGAGATGATAAAGCAATTTTCATTAGACGCATTCTTTGTTGGCTGGCACTCAAATAGTGGAAAGTGTTTTTTTCTTCGAGGATAAAATTTAGCAACTATTTAGTACTGAATTTGAGGTAAATAGAGACTTTGTTTATTCTTCTAGAGATGTATTAATCTTTCTTATGAGCAAAAAATTAGAACAACAACAAAGTACAATAACCTTATCATCTATGGAACAAAAAGAAATTAATGTTCCATAGTAAGATTGAATATTATTCAACAGTTTCAAAGAAGCAACAACCACCAAAGTCCAGATCCATTAACATAACCTGGAAACAGTAACACAAATATGTACACAGACACACACGCACATATAAATAAATACATATAAATGCAGAGACGATTCGATCTTGCAGTGAGTTTGCTCATGGTTTAAAAGACATTGAGCGAAGTTGCATAGAGTGGAATGCAAGGCTTGAAGGAGAAACAGTTAGGTACATAAGAAGCAAACCTCTTTCTCTTCAGTGAATCTGCAGATCCAAGAGCTGGCTGGTTCAAGTATGCGTACTTGCTCTTCGTCCACCTGATAAATGATTACACATCAACATTCAAAGTTAAAAAAAAATCGTCTTATGACATCTCATATAGCTAAAGACTAAACAAGGTGGTTCTTGTTTTAGACTCATCGAATGGTTCAAGATTATATGCATGAGAATTAAACAGAGACCAATCTTTAATTCCCTCATCATGAACTTCGGTTTCTGGATCCTCCATGTCCAAGCTTTCTTCAAAGCGCTTGTAGTCCTCCTCCTACAACAGATACCAATATCAGAAGATTCAGAACCATAAAGTATTTCTTCAAGTTAAAAGCATGAGATCATAGAAACATAACATCTATGTGTTCCTCTTCGTTGATCTAAAAACCAGAGCAAGAATAATTAAAATCAGAACGACATACAGAGAGATTACGGGCTCTGACACGAGCTGCAGCCTTAATAGCAGCAAAGAGATGCTCCTCTTCAATGATCTGCTTCTGCCTCCAGAACTTCTTGATCTGTTTATTGGTTATGCTGTCTCCATCGATCTTTCTTGATCCGTATCCAGGAGATGGAGGAAGCGGTGGAGGAGTAGGCGGCATCAATGACTTCTTGAAACACAAATTCTCAGACTCATCCATCATCTGCTTCTTCATTTTCATACCAAGAACTTCACGACCTTCACCAGCTAAAACACTTTTGAATACTATATACACAACACAAAGAGGACAACAAGCTACTGAAACTACAGATTCTGAATCTAACCTTCAAACTAAAGAGATAGATACACCTGAGATTCTTAGTTAGGAGTCTACCAAACGAATTATTAACGTCTACGTCTACTCTTTCCAATTATCTTGTACGTTAAGACAAACACTATAGGCCTTAACTGTAGAAGATAAAGACAGGTAGATGTAACTTCTAATCTTCATTCAATAATAAAGTAAGCCATTAGGTAAGTGTAAGGATAATGCAAAATATATGGACTTGAAGCACCTAATGGTACATGATTCAATCACAGCCGTTGAATCATGGTTCATGAATGGCCATCGCTATCAATCTCACCGAAAGGCCATTTTCATTATGACGTTCTCCATTAAACAAACTATTGGTTCTTGTTCTGTTCTTCACTCTTAAAAATTCAAGCTTTAAAAGAGAATAATAAAAAATCGAGCTTTAAAAGTTCCTCGTACGAAAATTCAACGACTGAATAGTGAATTAGCCCCACCAGAGAAACGAATCGCCAAAACAAAAAAAAAAACTGATGAATATTGAGGAAGAACAGATGAAAAAGATGATTTATTCTCAATTTGGATTTTGAACATTCGAGCAACCATGTGATTCACATCAACACACAAATACCACAAACATGATCACAAATCCAAGTCAACAACATACTTTACTATATACATGTGTGTGTATATCTCAATTCAGATGTAAAAAGCTTAAACCTCTGCTTCAGATAGCTGTTTTTTAGGTCCGGGACGAGACTCGAAGCGCCTTGGTTTTGAATCGATACCGAGGAGCACGAGGAACAACCTGACTCGGACCGAATCCGTACTGGCCGATACCGCCGGTGAGTGGCGGACCATCGTCGTAGATGTAGCCGATGAGGTGGCCGCAGCTATTGCACTTGATCTTGGTCCGTTTCCGCTGGATCCCCCAGTAATTTAAGGTTTCGAAGAAGGGCATGATCTTGTCCTCTTTCTCGAATCTGAATTTATCGGCGTCTACGGCGGCGAAGGAGGCGGTTCCTTTGTTCCCGGCTTCGAAGTAAAAATCGGGAGGAAACAGATCGTTAGGGTTCAGATTCAGATCCGATTCGCATTCCTTGCAACTGTAGACCGTTAACGCCATTGCTCCAATTGATGATTTCTCTCCCTCTTTCTTCTTCTCTGTCATATTATTCTTCTCTGTGTGGAATTTTCGCCGGAGACGCGTTTCTTTGGTCAGAGCCGTCGGAATTGACTCGGATCTCTGCCGCTATAGATTGGGCTTGTCGACTAGTAGATAATGGGCTTTAGTGTGTGGGATACAAATATGATTTTTTTTTTTCGGCTAAAGTTTTAATTTGTGTGACAGTAATGGTGAGAAATAATGTTTTGTGTCAGCTTGAATAGTAATAATTTGACAATTTGGTCAGCTAAACAGGTTTATAAATTCTATAAATGGAGTTTTCTGAGTTTACAAACGATTAAGTTGAATTACAATTTTTTCCACTTAGGTTTTTACTTTTGTTGGTGTTACATTGAATTACTTTTTAAAATATGAATTGCTTAACCAAACTAAAAATCAATAATTGTTGTGTAATGGGTTTTTTTCATAGTCTACTTAACTCTAGTTTTTTTTTTTTTTGCTTTTGTTTTTGGTTATTACGTTTATAGACTACCTTTTTATGTATGTATATCTTTTGAAAAATTGCTTTATAATTTTTTTACATTTCTATTTCTATTCGAAATAGTTTTTTTTTCTTTCCAAAAATATTATATAATATTCATATGCAAAAATTTGATAAAATCTCAAAGTTCAAAAATTACATGACTATGATTTTCGAAATTGCTTATAAATTGAGAGTATTTCTATAAATATAGGAAATCATGAACATGGTTTTCTTTTTTCTTTAATAACTTCTATATTTTATCCATTTTAGCAATAATAATGAACATTTTAATAAGTATTTATTTCGGTTATTAATAATTTTACAGTTGTTTTTGAATTTTTTGTATGATTAACGTATGGTTTAAAACTTATGTGATTGTGCAATTTAGGTACTATAAATCGTAGTCTTTGATTTTGAGTGAGCGATGATGCGATTGTGGCTTGTCCTAAGACACTACATGAGCTTAAACATTGTGACATTTTGATTAAACCAGATGGTTTAGTCATTTGTGCCTTCAGTCATTGAAAAATTGGGTATCATAAAAATTCTATACGATTAAATTTATCTTATTCTCTTTCTCCCCCTAAAACTTTGGTTTATAAATTCTTCTCTAGGAAAAATTTGGATTGGGCAATATTATGAAATCCGACAATCCAAGTTAACGACATTAGCATGTTGCTGGAATCACATGATGAACGTATAATAGTATACGTTAATTTAGGTGAACAAATACACATGAATCTAGAAGATTGCTGCCTGAATTTTGAAGTTTTCAAGCGATGTGTATGCATCATGGTATTGGTAAGCATAAACATTTGATCAAAAACCACTTAATTCTTATACAAGGTTAATTTAAAAAATCATTTAATGGTGTGTTTGTTTGTTTGCATTAGGCAATCTATAAAGAGGGAGAAAAATAAAACAAAGTAGCAAGAAGAGGTGGGAGACTACAAAAGAAATACACAGATAATGAGTGGAGCTAACTATAACAAATATTATTTTGTTCATAGTTTGAAGGATATTAATTTTTTTTTTTTAAAATATGAATTGCTGAAGCTATGATGTCTTGCAGAAAGTGAAAGGTCTACAAATCTTTGATCAAGAAGTACTTTTGGACAGTGTGACTTTCGAGGACAGATACTACAAAGTGATTGTTCTCCAAAAGCAAGCTGGAGTATGGAATGCATCTCGTGGCATGGAAAGATTATTTAACAGTGAAACTGGATGAAATTCCTCGTGCTAGGTAAATGCTTAATTTGGCAATCGTGATGGAGACCCTATTTCTCATAGAGTATGCGAAGGCTGTGAAAAGAGTTAAACGCATATGGCATGAGTGTTACTGAAGAGTCAAATAACTAATGAGGGAAAGATAACTACTCGTCATAGTGAATAATAATTGTTTGGTCCAAAAAAAAAAACAATCTCACATTGTTGAATTATGGTTTTTTTTGTTTGCATTATGGCTTGTTACTTATTTCCCAATTGCTGGGCAATTTACAAATGATGAAGCAGGTCAGAATACCCAAACGTCTTCCCATTTTTCACATCATGAATTAGGACTCCATACCGTTTCAATTTTTGCTGAAATAAGACGCCATGCCGTTTATTTTCTTTGAAAATCACACTCTCACAGAAACGTCTCCCCGATTTCACATTATGAACTCGGACTGCATGCAGTTTCTTATTCACCAACACGAAAAAATGGAATATGTTACTTGCCACTAATTTACCATTTGAGAGATTACACAGAGAATGCTATTCAGCCTAATCTTATTTAGCATATATAAAAATTCATTGTCGTTAGAAAGACAAGAGAAGATCATTAACTAAATCGAAGACAATTTCTTCTTCCATCTCAATTCCTTCTTCCTAACTATCTTTCTTGTAGTCAAGTCATTTATCTTCAACATTAATTACTCATATCATTAAAGCTCATCCATCATCATATCTCTCATCTTATTCAATCTTTGAATATCTGTAAAAACTCAAGTTCGATCTATGAAAGAACTAGGGTTTGTGGGTTTAAAAAGAAGTCTTTTATTAGAAGAAACCGGAGCTTGAATGAATACACAGAGTTTTATGTCGTCAGAATAAGAACGTCAACCTAAAATTTTAAGGGAAGTAAATCGAAAGCTAGAACAATCAGATTGCTTAGTTTGCCCTAGGTCTCGAGAGATGATTTTTGGACGATCTGAGAAGTCGAGGGCTTCCCATATTTATAGCTGATCAGGTCGGTCTTTGATGTGTGTTTAGAATAGGAAAGTTTTCTTGCCGACAAGAAGGAACTTCTTTTTTCCCGGGTTTGCTTGATAAATGGAAAGTTTCCATTTGATTAGCCGACCTGAAACTTGAAGAATGGGCCGACCATAATTCACATCGGGCTTGTAGAGATGGTACGAATCTCATCTCTAACACTAAGTCCCCCCCGCCTCCCCTCCCAGTTCGGCAAGTGAGGATGCATTGGCGAAATTCATGAAGTGCTGCTCGGTGCGTATTCTGGTTGGCTGTAAAAAGAGTTAGAACATAAAATGTAATATTACCTGGAATTTCTGATCGGCGTGATGGCGAGGATCAGATAGTGAAAAAGGGCGCGAAAAGTTCCCGCCAAGAGACGATGTAGACTAGGCCTAGGTCTGCGTATGCAGAAATAGGTTTGACACATATCAACCATGAAAAGAGAAAACCGAAAAGTCGCCGAGCTCATGATGACTCTCGGTAATCGTCCATATTTTTTTATAAATAAGGGGGATTTGACTTCTATTTCTTCACTTCTGCATTTCTTAGCGAAACTCTGTCCAATTCAGGTTTGCTCCTTCTCCCTCTTCTGTGCTTTATTTAGTTTAGAATTTTTAGATCTACCGATTAGACCTCTGCCGTGTTTCGTTCTGAGCGTCGATCAAACATGAGTAAAAGCGTTCAAATTAGGGAAAGCCGACCAGACTCGAATGAAATCAGATCGGCACAGAAGAAGGCTGACGAGATCGGCATCTCCCTGGAGGAGTTTCTTCAGATGTCAAGGGACGATCAGGTCGCCAGAAGCCGATCGAAGGGAAAACAGGTTGTCGTTGAGGGATCAGAGTCGGATCGGTCCTCGGATACGAACGAGTTATCTGCGTTGAATCGTGCGTTTCAGGAATGCGTTCGAGAGGAGAACCAACAAGCTGCGGCCAATCGGTTCCACGCCGATCAAGTCGGAATCATCCAGAGATCAGGGGAAACATCGTCCAGGATTGAATTCGAGATTCCCAAACTACGAGATGAAGACGACGTGAGGAGCGAGTCGAACGAGATAAATATATAGGATGAGCTAAACACCATTATCTCGGTTAACAAGCTCATCCATCATCATATCTCTCATCTTATTCAATCTTTGAATATCTTTCTTTACAATTCTCCTGCTAAAACCTCTTTCTTTCTAAACAAGATCACTTCTTTCCCCAACAATCCTCTCCAAGCACCTTCCCATGAACATTTTCTCCCATGTAAATGATAACCACTGATTCATAAAGTCAAACAGCGTTTTTCTCTCCACCTTTCCCCGTGCATTTCTCTCACCTTCAACTTCATCGAAGAGGCTTAAATGTAATAAATCAGTA